CCGAATTGGACGTTAAACGTCCAATGAAAGTCCATTTTATGTCTTGCGGACACCACTTTGGACGTACATTGGATGTTTTCATGTGGGTGTATAATGGATGCTCATCTTTGGGAATCAAATGATGAAAAATCAGTAGGTAGCAAATATAAATTCTTCTATTGAGATATACAGGGTGGGTCACGGTCGATGGCACCTTAGACGTTTACGGAGAACGGGACATAAGATCATTCTGAAAATTTGGTTACTCAAGTAATTGCTCTTGATCTATCGATCTAAAATATTTTCAGCTCTGCGGCGTTGCCGCTTCTATCGAAAAGTAGCAACAACTTTGTTATTTTTAATGGAACACCCTGTATTTTATCGCATTTTCAGATTCTCTCTGAAGAGCTGATTTCATCTATGTATCACACTTGGGGTCTAGCGGAAATGATTACAGAGATATAGGGTGTGGAAAATCGACATTTTTCAACTTTAGGAATTTTTTTTGTCGAAACTATTCATTATTGGTCAAAACGGCTCACATGTCCCTATCCCAACTTTTGATCAACTATCTACTGACATTTAATTGAAACAAACACAGGGTGGTGCAGAATTCAGATTTTTGATCACCCGGTATATGTCCCAATTGAATATCAGTAGATAGTTAATCAAAAGTTGAGATAGGGACATGTGAGCCGTTTTGACCAATAATGAATAGTTTCGACAAAAAAAATTCCTTAAGTTGAAAAATGTCGATTTTTCACACCCTATATCTCTGTAATCATTTCCGCTAGACCCCAAGTGTGATATATCGATGAAATCAGCTCCTCATAGAGAATCTGAAGATGCAATAAAATACAGGGTGTTCCATTCAAAATAACAAAGTTGTTGCTACTTTTTGATCGAAGCGGCAACGCCGCAGAGCTGAAAATATTTTAGATCGATAGATCAAGAGCAATTACTTGAGTAACCAAAGTTTCAGAATGATCTTATGCCCCGTTCTCCGTAAACGTCTAAGGTGCCATCTACCGTGACCCACCCAGTATATTTGGTGTCGATTGCATATATATAAATATATTGTTGATTCAGGTCTTCTTCAGTCCACTTCAAATTCTTGTTTCTGTAAAACAAAAAATATTATAAATTGCTATAACGGTAGAAATCGATTGTCTATACCCCAAATCCTGTTCAGCTTAACTCTGACTGGTGAATGAAGCCTTATTTACATTGCTATATACTTAGGTACTTCTTCTATCAAGCCGCCCATCAAAAATCAATAACAACCTGTAGAATGATAAAGGAATAACTGTATTAGATAATATATCAAATCACATTCGAACATGCATGCTTTCATACCTACTTTAAATGATCTGGTCCTGAATATGCAGCATTCCACAATTCATCACAAACACAACACATCATGTTTACGGTCATTTACCAACTGAAAATGGCATCAGAATCACGCCAGACGCTACCGCTACTCTACCGACCGATCTGACCTTCTGCCTCCCCTCCACGTGGCTGAAAAATCAATAGTCTCACGTCCATCTCTGAACGTACAATGTACGTTCATTGAACGTCCATAAACCTTCAGATTTAAAATGATTTCATACAGACATTTACTTTGAACAGTTATTTATATACATATGAATATAATATTCATTCTTCATTCATTAACGCTTGAACTCAGAATGGCCGTTAAATGGACATCCAATGTAAGTTTAATTTGAATCATCCAATGTACGTTCGTCTCTGTACGTACAATGGATGTCGATCAAACGTCCACGAGAGTTTTAGTCCTTGAGTTGACATAAAATGGATGTCCAACGGACGGTAATTTTGAAACATACATTGTACATCCATCTTTATAAGTACAATGAATGTACATTCTACGTACATGCGAGGTTGGACATCGAGTGGACGCCCACTGTACATACAATTTGGAGCATCCAATGATAATCCATGTTTGTACGTACATTGGATGTCCATTCAATGTCCATGGACGTTTGGAATTGAAATGAACCTAAAATGGACGTCCAATGGATGTCATGTGCTGTATGGGTTTTGGTAGAAAGGAGTTTGAATAGTTGTTTTTTATTGTTATCACACTGCAAAAATTTACTGAAGACTTCGCTATAACATCGGATGTGAAAAATTGAGTGAGAGATCAAAGTGGGTATACCGGGTAAGGCATTTATATTGAGACAAAATTATATCTCGGTTCGACTCGATTATTTCGAAAGACATTTAAGACATATAATGTAAGGCCAATGATTTCCAAAAAATCGACTTCCGTTCTAAAGGCCCCACTTTCGGTCTAGTACAATATTTCTCAGATTTTTTAGTTATAATTTTGTCTCAAGATAAATGCCCCACCCGGTATATTCTAGAGTTAAAAAATATCTTCGATATTTCTAGATGAACACGTGTGTAAGGAGGATTTTTATGAATAGGTAGGGAGACTTGGTAACGGGGTAATTGTTGGAATTTTGAATGATTCCTCGAGGAAACGAGGATTTTCCACTGAATATATTCAATTTATTGACTTTAATATCAGCCTTACACGAAAATGTTCCAGACAAAAAATGTGCGCCTTGTAATGTTCTTCATTTCATAAATTTGAACTCTTCCAAAATTTTGCACCGTTCTTGAGATATCAGCAAAAATCTAGTTTTTGGCCGCCATTTTAGAAAATGGCGGACGAAATATTCCAGACACAGCTTGTGTCTCGATGGTTTTTTGTTTTCTATATATTTCTCATCATGTATGCCAAATTTCATGCTGGTAGCCAGAATAGCAATATTCTTATACTTTTTTGAACCAACCCAACGCACTATATTGGGAAACAAAGAGACAAAGGACGAAAATGTCCCGAATGAAACTGGGACAACAACAATACCAACTTAAAATAAAAGAAGACCTGCAGAAAGCTATAGAAGGAATTCGATGTCCAGCCCATATAATCTGCTCAATACTAATCAGGGCGTAGAGTGTGGACGTATAGGAGTTTACACGTGTTGACTTCAGATGGCAGCGTTAGACAGTTTGGGGGGAGTAATGGAAATGGTGTCCACTGGGGTAAAAGCAGCCACCGAATAGTTCAGCTCTCTTATTGTTAGAGGAGTAAAACTTTTTTCACTGATTCATTTGCTCCACAGTCGGTGGACAAATTGTCTATAAATGTTTAACACTTGAACTATTCTTGATCAAGACGAACATTTTGAGAACCAGACTAAAAAATCTCTGTCATATACCGTATATTGAAACTCTCTGGACAATAAGTAGCTCTAGTAACAATGAGTTTTTTTTATGGTTGTCGATTGAAAGAAATGTTTATTGGGTTATGATGACTCCAATCGTGTCGGAGAAATGCTGGCAGGCCACCATTTTCCCATTGCTGAATGTAACAATATGTTGAGCTATAGAACATTTTTCCAAAGCCAAGAATGTATCGTAGGCTGACAGAAAAAGCATCTTGGACTGATAACAGAACGAAAAAGATAACACAGGCTCAGAATGTCGGTTTAGTGTGTGGCGAATACGGGAAAAATACATATATTTGGTTGAAATGCAGTATCTGTGGACATTGATATGAGCACATGCATCGTTTGCTTTACTGAAGAGGACATTTTTACTTGTCATTATCGCATTTGAATAGTTCATCTGAATTTTTGGGGTCATCTGCCACTATTACCCCAACTATATGGGATAAATGGCAGCCATTCAACTCTTTGTTATTTATTCTGTGAAAAAAATGTTTTCCATTTTTTTTAAATATTCAACAAATTTTCATCAACAGGAATATCATGATTATTTGTTTCCTCGTTCTTGAGATCAATTGATGCCATAACATAATCTACTAAAGAAAAAAATGCTTAGGGGCCACCATTCCCCCGGCTCTCCCCAATGTCACGATTGCATTGGTCCTACCTTAGAACTATGCCACTAGATGGCGATATCATGACTACCTCATCATGTATATAGGTATTTAATGATAATTACTATCTGAAGATTAATAGAGGGAATATTTCGTTCATTTTTATCCCGTATTGAGATTAAATTTCCTCGTAAAAGTCACTGCACGATTATTGATACAAACAGGGGCAATGGCTCGTCATCGTTTTGCGAATGATATTTTGTCATTTTTGGGACTTCAACTTTTGGAGAAAAAACACATGTGTTTCAAGTAACGTTGGGAAATTACATTCCAATTTTTGCCTATTGGAAATTCAAAGAATTGATTAATATTAATCTAGAGATGAATATATTCGAATTTTGAATCCTGAGGGCCACTTTATGAAAAAACTTTAAGACTTAAGATTTATCACCTAACATTTAAGGCTTCACTCATGACAGAAGAAACATGGAAATATCATTGGTTATGTTATATAAAACAATTTAAGACTTATGATTTAACATTTAAGATCTAAGAAAGAAGACCAACTACCACAACTCAAGAAGTGACATCTCAATTTCCCGTCATTCAGAAATAATTCAAAATATCTTGTGTTGTTATTCCTGAATATTTGTTTTTCTTTTGATGGATACTGAACCGTTCTTCAAAAATACACTATAGAGTGTCGCAACTGTTGACTCTATATTTGGCAGAAGATCCAAGGATCCAGTTTCTGGTAGGCAAGGAATAGTGATTAGGTACTTTCAAAATGATGTGGAGATATAATGGATGTGGGTGTAACATTTTAGGGATATAAATATAAATTAATAGAATGATATCAGAACATGAAATTTAGATTTCCAACCAGTTTATAACTTACTGAACTTCGAAAATCTGGTTCTGTATCAGAAATTAGATGTCAGGAATAACAGAGAGACATGTATCGCCGTCGAATCTTAATTTTCTTATGACTGAATCCACTTAAGACTCGCTCTCAAGTCTTGAATGTTTAAATGTCAAATCTTAAAATGCTTGAAGTTTTTATAGAGTCATTCTTATTTCCAAATCCCAATACAAGCGTTTTGACCTCGAATAAATACAAAATGCGATACATTGTTCTTTTCAGCTTCCCCAGATACGAAACCCAGTATACGACGCCACTGTTCAAAATAGAAAGCTGACGCCACTTCCGGTGAATCCGGAAATTAAATCAATGAATCTTAACACCAGACCACAATATGCCACAATCGTTTTAATTGAAAAATGCACCAAAAATAATACAGTATGAACGAAAAAATAATGAGATCCCTATTCATAACCAAATCTGGTCGTGGGTCTACCTGCGTCGACGGAAACAGTGGTGGATATCCGGCTTTACAGATCGTCACAATAAGGTACAATGTAGTCCAACGAACGAGTCCAACAGAAAATCCATCGGAATGGTGAGTGATATTATTCACATTTTTTATATAACATATTGTACAATGCATAGGTACCTATTTCACCTTGTAGCTGACAATTCCGCTTATTCATTATTAGATTTTGTTGATAATCAGGGTATTGATCTTATCGTACATTATTGTAATGTAAAATATCAGCAAAACCGAACAACGCATGGTCCTCAATTATCACGTCCAGTAAAGTAACACATGTGTCGCCATCTAGTGGTGAATAGTAGAGTAACGGATCAATGCCATAAAGAAAACTACCTAGCAAAAGTCTACAGTAGTCTCCAATGCTCATATACTACATTCCAAATAAGGATTTACTAGCTGGCGCCACCAGAGTGCCGCATACAGAGTGTTTCAATTTGAGAACAGAGAAGATGGAGTTTTTTTTGGAATATTCAAAACTATACAGAATTGCTTCGTATCACTGCATATCGGCTCTAAATTTATTATATTTTTGCAGGCTGGAAAGTATTTGAGAAAACCGTTTGGTCATATATACAGGTTGTCCCGAAATTACATAGAAAGATTGACAAAACTAAATTTTGTATATTTATGTATATTACTCACTTTACGCACGTGTTAGGTACACTATTTCTTCTACCAGCTTGCGGAAAAAACCCCCTGTTAACATGAAGAAACATTTATTATTAAAAACATAGTTCGCAAATTGATTATTATTAATATTAATATTAAACGTGCACTTTGTTGCATTCTGCAAATTAATTGCAGAAGCTAAAGTTTTTACTAATGAAGTAATATTACGGTTATCCATTGCTTTGTCAGCAACCGTGGCCATCGGAACTTGGCTGGAAGAGGTCATTTATGTCATTATGTGAATCACAATCATACAAATATAAATCTTGAGTACACATAGAAAAAAAATTTCTTCGAATGAGAAAACCCATTCTCTTGAAAATTCAATTGTATATCTTCTTTGAATTGAGCATATTCTTTTGAGTCGAGAAATCTGGTATGGTCAAGGAAATAGTGTCATATTATTGAAATATATTCTCAAACCAAAAATGTAATTATTGAATTACTAAATTAATTACTTCAACTCAATCAAAACGATTTTTCAATTCGCAGAAGCGTACTATTTTGTTTCAATAAATTTATTGCTTGATCCAAGAATATAAGTATACATTTCTTCAAATCAAAGAATGTCCATTTCATCGAATGACATATTCAGTTTTCTTGAATTGCAAAAACCTAATATGCTGAGGCAATACGCCATTTTCTTGAAACAAAAATATAAATAATTATTTCTTCAAATGAAGCATTCTAATTTCATCATATTGGTATTATAATTTCATCAAATCGAAGACTCCTGATAGTTTTATTCTATGCCATATTTACTTGATTCGAAGGTATGAATATCAATTTTCTCAAATGAAAGGAATATAATATCTTCAACTTGATGAACTTGATGATATTAATAATTTCTCTAATTGAAGAAGCCACATTTTGATTCAATACTTTATTTACTTGATTCAAGTCTATGAATAGGTATTTCCTTGGAAGAAAATAATATGCCCTCGGAAATCAAGGGTAAGCAATCCTGTTGCCAAAACTCAGGCCTCAGTCTTCAATCATTATTGACCATGCTCACATCATTATGACAGGCCCACAACGGCGAAACGGCATCAAGCTGCGAAGTTTGAAAATTCTGAATGTTTTATCGAGTGTGTATAGGTGGAAATGTCTCAGAATATAAATATCTAACAAATGCAGAACTTGTAGAGAGCTGGTGAAGGTATAACATTGAATTCCCTTGGTAAGTAGGTACCTACCTTTCCAAATATCGATAGTCATTGTGAGTGAATCAACAATTTTTCAATCAAAATAACAGGGATTTAGTAGTATCCTGCTATGAAAATATGCTTATATACTAATTCATTCGACATTTTTTTTTTAGCAAAATGACGACTGGTTTATGAATGGAGAAGTATTATCTACAAATGACTTGCAAAGACTTGAGAAGACCTTGACATTAGGTGAGAGAAAGTTTCCTGCCGAGTATCTCGAATCTATATACCCGATATCTTCCAGAAGGCATGATATTACTGGAATCACGATATTACATATCAAAGGGGTGAGTTTTTAGTCAATCATAATACTTATGTCATTGTTTGTAACCGTTATCATTTCCAGCGAAACTTCAAGAAGACGAAATCAAGGCATGTGATTATTCTATAACCATTTGGGGTCTTGATGGACAATACTGATCCAAGATGCACATACCTATACATGGGATTATTGTCAACTAAAGGAAAAAATATATATTTCTTCACGAATATTCTGTGGAGTTTAGTTATATTTTTATCCAAGCAGTCAATATTTTGATACAAGAAAATAGTTCCATTGGAGAGAATGAGCTCAATATTCATTATAAAAAACTTATAAATTCGGATCGAAAATATCAATGTGTTCATTGAAGATTTACGGAATTTTGACTTCAATAAATCGTTCATTTTGAAATGAAATAGAACAATTCTCAATAATAGTAATCCATAGTTGCAAATTGAGAAAATGATTGTTTTCATTTGGTGGATGGATTCCATATCTCAAAATTATGGTTTTCCTGAAATAAGTAAATGATTTTGTCAATATGAATCATTTCAATTCTCACTTCAACATAACAAAAACGTCTCCAACCATGCATATCTTGATTTTCCTACAAGAGAGTTGTTGAATAAATCATTGTTTCGGAACAAGAATATCATCTCTTTCGTTATTACAAACAAATTATTTTCTTGGACCAATGCAGTCATGCTCAATACAAGAGATTCTTTTTTTGTGTGTATTCAAATTTCAGTATATTCTCTTGAAACTTAACGAATTTACTTTTCCGCACTGAGTACGGAAAAAACTTTGAGTGCGGAAAAGTGACTCTTTCAACACTGAAATGAGTGCGGAAAAGTGAACTTCTCCGCACGCTACTAGAAAAATATGATTTTCACCTGAAAATCAGTTTGGATTCAGTTTCGATAGCCCTCACTATTTTCGAGATTCAATCGATTTTAAAAGTCTGTTGCGTAAGTTAGGTACACAAGTGGGTGACTTATCTCTGATTGGGTTATACCTACTATAATATTTTTGAAATGTTTCTTTTTATTCCCATTTCAGATAAAATGAGAGTGACTGATTGCCCGACTGGCGTTCTTTTGAATATGATAGAGCAAAATACTCAAAGTGGAATGAAATTGTAACAACGAAAGAAAAACTCGAAGTTAATTACTATAATAATAGTTCATAAAATTTACGAAAATGGTAGATAATAGAGGAAAACAACTACTTCTCAGGCTGAATTACACGCAGAACATTGCATTACATCTTCCCGAAACCTATGCAACGATTCGTAAAGACAAATACAACTGCAAGTGATTCTTTCATATTTGCTGAGTTGTGCCTAAATTGTTTAGGAACGCTTTACTACCTACAGACTGGTTTCGAGCTTTAGGCTCTCATCAGTGCAGGGGTGTCTCCAGATTGCATTCATTTTATGAACTATTGTGGTAATGACTTCTAGTTTTTTCCTCCTTATTGATACTTGTTATTGACCACATCTGGAAGGTCTGCTATTTCTTTGCATATTATAATTAAGGTTTTTCTTTCCCGGTGAGTGCTAAGAAAATGGGGTGGAAATGAATGTTTGGATGTTTTCCAGTTGTAAATTCACAAGTTTCTGAGGTTCTGCAATTTTGTTAATAAAAAAGAAATTCCACACTTTCTCAAAACACTTCTATTTTTTCTGAAAAATAAGATATCACACTTCAATCTAAAACATGATGGAACTATGTCTAACCAGTCACAAGAAGTTAAAGGTGAAAGAGTATATTTTATTTGACCCTGTATAATGATCAGGTCATCAGCTTCTCTTGGGAACTGAAATATAGGCTAACACATTAAAACATAAATCTACGATTCAGCTGCAATTCATCAGAGTCGGGCACAAATTGAAATTTGAACATTATAGGGATTCCCTTTCGTGCGCTCCAAGCGATAAAAAAAATAATAATAAAAAAAAGGTTATTTTTGCCGGTGTATGTTACGCTAGATTAGTTTAGACCATAGAAGTTCCTATTGAACCAAAATTTTTTCCAGGCCCTGAAAAATCACACCATCAGCGTGATCAATTTCACAAATCAAGACACAGTGACTTATTCCATAATCAAACTAATAGGAAACATCCAGAATGCCACTAGCGCATTGTGCCAAAATAATGACAACAATGTTCACCTGATCATCAATAACGTTAAAGTAACTACCAACCTAGTGAACAATAAATTCAAATTCTTAGTCGAACTGCATAGAGGCCAAAATCGACTGATCATCAACTACTGCTGTGAGGAAAAAGAAATAGTTTTGGTATATTCTTCGCCGAAAGGCTATCATTCTGTGATACCGCTTTATGTGATCTGTGATGGACACGATGGTAATTTTCAAGCACCAGCATGGATGAAGAACACTGCAGAAAGCGCGTGCAAAAGGATATCTTTATGTTCGAAGCTGCTACAGTGTGTGACCGCTGAGAAGCTCAACGAGCATGGATTGGGTAGGAAAACGTTCAGCTTGGAAAGCGACTGTCAAATTTTCCAAAGCAGGCTGAACTACCTGGAAGTAAGGACTATGAGTCAAGCAGAATTGTGGGAAAATATAGGTGAGCATTGATTTTTTTATTTCATTCAGAACTTCATCTACTTGGTCCCTGCTTCACCAGTTCACCAAGTACATCACAAGTTAGATCTCTAATGAATTTATCAGAAATAGGTGCTGAACACAGATGGATGGATGAGAATGCAAATTGTGTGGATGATTCAGCAGAACCATTGCCAGATAATTGATATACAGGAACGTGCACAAAAAACGACCAGTGCTGTATAACTTCTGAATCATCCGAGGTCGGATTTTTAAATTTTATGGGTAGCAAAGTATACTATATAAATTGCCTTTTATCGATAGAAGATATTCATTTTATCACTTCCGTTTCAACTGGGAGTAACCTCAACTTTCAATTTTCAATCTACTGTAAAAGCCCATCTCGAAGTGGAGTGAAGTATAGTTATAATATAATAAACGAACCTCTCAATTTTTTATATATATATCTCGACATTATGACAAAAAAAGTATCTAGTATCTAACGATCAACTGAATCCAATTATGAAAGATATACTGGGTTTCCTATTCAAAAATCAAGAGTTGGGATTTCTTCGGTTGTACCGGAGGTGATAGAACAGACATTTTTTTGTCAAGGAAGAAGCAATTCGGTATACTTGCTCCCCACCAAATTTCAGAATCCGATCTCAATTGACTCAGAAGTTAAAGCACTGGTCGTTTTGTGCATTTCTATGTATTCAATAAAATTGATATTCAATAGATATATTATCATAAATCATAATTGCCATAAATATGTGTATATGCGATAGTAAATTGATTTTTACGTATAGGTACCTATACCTATCTCAAATTTTATCAGAATTGCGACGATTCTCGTCTGATTTTTGTGAAATCCCAAGAAAAGCTGTTGGCTTGATCATTATACAGGGAAAAGCAAAATTTACTCTTTCACCCTTAACTCTCTAACGCCCTGTGGCAAAGGTGAGTGAGTGAGCTTCCTAATGTATTGGATTGTGATCCCTTTTTGATACAATGGTTCTCGATTCACGTTGATAACCACTTTTTAACAGAAGATGCGAGTGTTTTATAAAAGTATGGATTTTTTAGATTTGACGTAGATTTTTCCAAGTGTACAATTCAAATTATCGAAATGGAGAAGTACAAAATGACTGATTCAACTTAGATCGTTCAGGAATGCAGCGAAATAGTTTCTGTCAGTCTCGTTCATGCAGCAGTCATTTTTTTAAATGCGTTCACCTTCTCCCAATGCAGCAAATTGGAAGAGAGGAATATTTTTGTATTGGAGTTTCTTGATACAACTTTCGAAATCATTGAAATCGGTAACTTTCAGCTACTAAGATGTAGTATGGCTTCTTTTATTCACTGCTTTCAAGTTGTAGATGGAAAATGAAGGTGAAAAAAAATCAGTTTCAATTCATGTACTTCTCACTATGACTGTGAATGTTTAATGTTGATGAACTGGGATAATAAGGGTGTATATGTATTGATTTGATGAAACAAAGTTCTATCTGGCTGTATAGATAGGACCATGATAAACCAAATTATGTAGTTAGGATGTTGTTACACCAAATTAGGAGAGGAAAATTCTGTAGATAGAACTCTGCATTATAACTAACTCATTGAAATTCCAACAGATTGCGATAGTCGACCTCTCAAAATGAAGAATTCATCATATAGAACCCTAATATACTAAATTCTCAATTTTGGTGAAAGAGGCAGATAAAACCTTATCATTCTAGGGCAACGAGAGGGTGAAATGGTAACGTTGTTTTTTCTCTGTAGAGTGATCGAGTCATCAGATTTTCACGGAAACTGATATTTAGGCTAACATTCCGGAACATGAATCTACGAATTGATCGAAATTCCACAAAAATCAGACCAGAATCAAAAATGTTACAGGATGAACAATTTGGGAAAATTGGATGACCTCTTTTTTGGCGATAAGTGTATAAAACAATTCCAATTTCTATAGTGATAGGATTTTTATTCCAAAATCAATAGGATTTTTCTCCGGATGATCACTTCAAATTTTCGATTTGGTTACCGTTTCACATAGAAGTCCTTAGGTATGTGATCTATTGGCCACAAAGGAAAAGAAGCAGAAAGAGTCTATTTTTTACTCTTCCGACGAAGAGTAGCGCAAAGAATCACTAAATTTTGATAGTTCAATTCAAACGTAGAACTTGAACTCATCTGATCCACTGTTCGTTTCTAGGATGATTTTGAAATTATTTTTGAAGAACTCTATATCATTGGAAAATATGAATGGAAACTTTTCAATTATATCACAAAATTGTCACTACCCACACACCACCCTATCTCTACAACAAAATAAGATATCGGAACGATGTGCATCATGTCAATATCAGACGTAAAAGGATCCACATTGTTAGAACATTCCACCGAACAGTTCAAAAGATCATTCACTTACAAAATAGCTGAATTGTACAATGACTTTCCGCTGTCCCTCCAGGCAAAATCTTTGGCTAGTTTCAGATATTGTCTCAAACAAAACTTTTTAAACAAGTAGATAGTACGCAATGTCCAAGTTTATCTCATGCGAGTGTTCTTTCTTCTTTTCAACCTTTTTTGTTTTTTTTTTTTAATTGTATATTTCATGATTACACTACACTGTTTTACCACTAACCAAACCGATTTTTTAACGCCTCGACACGTGTTTCGCTAACTATGTTAGCATCTTCAGGAGAAGATTAAAGCTAAATATCCTATTCTAGTGTGCTGCTTATATACTAGGTATATGTTCACCCAACTGTGAAAAATACTAACCGTCAAGTTAATGTTTGTCATGGTTGAGTTCACATGTTAATCTTAATTTTTATTTCACTAAACTATATGGCTTTATGGAATAGGTCCATTATCCTTATTCATTACTCTATTACTATTCTTAAATATCTCCAAGCTTGGTAGGTTAGATATATCTTATTGTGAAGCCGAACATATGTTCAATCACAATCATAACACACGACATATTACTAACCTCAAATTAGTTAAGCAAATTAATAACATTAGAAAACTAGACGCATATGAAAGCTTGGAGATATTTAAGAATAGTAATAGACTAATGAATAAGGGTAATGGACCTATTACATATAGCCCTCTATATAGTTTAGTGAAATAAAAATAAAGATTAACATGTGAACTCAACCATGACAAACATTAACTTGACGGTTAGTATTTTTCACAGTTGGGTGAACATATACCTAGTATATAAGCAGCACACTAGAATAGGATATTTAGTTTTAATCTTCTCCTGAAGATGCTAACATAGTTAGCGAAACACGTGTCGAGGCGTTAAAAAATCGGTTTGGTTAGTGGTAAAACAGTGTAGTGTATGTATTATCGTGCCAAAGGTTCCAGTCTTCGATATATTTCATGTTTAGTTTTCACCTAAAATTAATTGTATGTATGTGAAGGGAAAAAGTAATGTCAAATATGTTCCAATTCTATACTAATCACCGTATGTTAATTCACAATATGTGTTCTTCTACATTTAATATCCTGATTCAATATATTCTTGTGTGTGTCGTATTTAAATTATCGTAGATTTGAATTATCGTGAATGTATATAAAAATCTTTTTCTTCTTTCTTGGTGCAAGAGTAAGAATGGAGTCATCCAATCTTGTTACCCATTGGCAGACATTTCTATTGAAAATTGTGTTGTCTTATATTTTACTTCTGTCAATAAATACATATTATTATTATTATACTAGTAAACCCATTTTGATATTAATTTCGACACACAGATAGGTAATAGAAATTCGCCCATTTGAAGTACAATATTTTAGGAAGGGAAATCATGAAATCGCCAATTGGATCTGACAACAAGAAATACTTAGCATTCTTGTCATGCACAAGATATTTGGGCGACAAATACGATGCTTCCATGAAAACACATGAAGATCTGCTCAACATTACCGAAGGATATGTGGCACTAGGCGGTGGAGGCCTAGCTTTATTCGGAAGTGCTTGCCTATACACGTGGCCAGAAACATTCGAGGACATCATTGATAGGTTCGAAGATGAAGCTCCAGTAGACAGAACACAATTTCTGGACGACAGTTGTTACAGGTAATAGTAATTTATGTACCAAGGACGAAAAACTGTAAATTATAGTCGAGTCAGCAAATTGATAGCCGAGGCCTTAGCCGATCATTCATGTATAGGAACCTGACAAACCTGAACTATACAATTCTCATAATTCATTATTTACTGGCCGGACCTAATCAAAAAACATATCTATTTAATTTTATGAAAGTTTCAATGTTTCCAACCCGCAACACCCCTCCTAATTTGGAACCCGTCGAACGATTTACAAAAACAAAAGTTCCATAATATAGAACTCAACGAGCTCTATCAGGGCCTCTATTCGAGAATGTGAAAGTATTTCAAATATTCAAATTTTCAATGACTACTTTTGTTTGTTGAAGGGGTCAAAATTTCAAAAACTACTATTAGGCAATTTTTTTCAAACTGTGACTAGCCTATTCGATTCAGGCATAGCTGAAATACTCCGATACGAAATTTGAATTCAAAATCTCATATAGGGTGTTATTCAGTGGCTAATTTTGATATTTTTGATTTTTCGATTCACCCTGTATCAAAATCTAAGGAGTTGATATACCGGTGGAATAGTCATTCAATGGAGAACATATCGAATACTGAGATACGAAGTTCCATCGTTGATTCTTCTACAGGCAGATCTCTTTGGGCCAACCAAAAATTAATAAAATTGAAGTTGAAACATTTTATATTATGATCCATTCCTTCTTTCCTGCGAATATAAATAATGGTAAATAATTCGAGGGAATATTCTCCATACATTGAAATTTCCATTGTCATCCCAAATTCCTTTCCATTTCGTCGAAATCGGTTTATTATTATGATCACATTAAGTATCAGTAAATCTCTTTGCAGTCTTTGGAGAGTAAATGTCTGTCATTCAGTTTTTATTATATTCGACAGTTCTTTATCTATCGAGACGATTTTCAGAGTTACCTTGTAGTGAAGTGTTTGAGTTCTCAAAATGGTGAACCTAAACTTTAGTTTTATTGTTTTTAATTGGCCTAGAGAGATCTCCCTGTAGAAGTTACAGCGATGAAACTTCGTATTCGTATTCGATATATTTCTCAATTGAATGACTACTTCACCAGTTATATCAACTCCTCGGATTTTGATACAGGATGAATCAAAAAATCAAAAATATGAAAATTGTTCATTGAATAACTAACACCCTACGTATATGAGATTTTGCGTTCAAATTTCGTATGGCGGTATTTAAGATATACCTGAATCGAATGAGATAATCACTGTTTCGGCAAACAATGCCTAATATTCGTTTTTGAAATTTTGACCCTTTCAACAATCAAAAGAAGGCCTTGAGAATCTGAAAATTTCAGAAGTGTCCACATTTTCGAAAAGTGCTCATTGAGTACTATATTATAAAATGTTTTTTTCTGTGACGGGAAAAGAGTTTGGCATTTCATCCCCGTTGGCAGGTTATAAAATGTCACTTTTCATAAATTACTTTTTTCCCGTGGGAAAAAAGTGAGTACTTTTTTCCCGGATATATATCACATATATATATATACACTGTTGATGGCTTTTGTTGTGCTATAGTTCCGAAAAATAAGTCAATAATACCGTCTCCGAGAATGAACTGCAAGTCCTTTTATCTTCCATTCAACTTCGCGGTTACTTATATTATTGAATTACCACTGAATTCTTAATTTTTGGAATCAAATCACAGAATTAGACTGACAGAAGTGACATCAGATATTTGATTACTTCAAATGAATGATAAAGATGCCTACAACGCGGTGTCCCTATACTGTTAAAAACTTAAAATTTCATGTCGATAATTCTCAGATTTCAAAATGATGTAATATCTTCTCAATATTGATTCGTCCTTTCTTCTGTCACAGAAAAAAATAGTGTATTATACACGGGAAAAATATTAGATTTTAGCTCACGATTTGTTGTCTCCCTCCGCTACGCGTCGGGAGACAACACAACCTGGAGCTAAAATCTACTACTTTTTTCCATTGTATAATAAATAAATATTTTTTGAAAATCGGTCGACGGGTTCCAAATTAGGAAAGGTGTTGCCGGTTGAAATCGCACACACCGTACATATATTAATAAATCTAGAGGTTCTTGGATCGATCCAAGGTAGAAGCGCATTTTTCTCAAATTCTTTATTCAGAATAAGATCTTTTCTACTCTGTCTGGATCTCTTTTTTACCTATCTGAGTAAAAAAAATCGAATTTACGTTGATTCAGGTAATCATGGTCCTGAATGGACGTACTGGGGATGTACAAATGCGTGAAATCTGGACGTCCCCAGTACGTATCTAGTACGTTTACGGTCCTAATCCGAAGTTCCCCTCCCAGGCAACCAGATGACGAATGATCACGTCACTGTGACGTCCCTTATTGGTGTATTGGTATCGTCAGAGACGTCACAAACCAATTTATGACGTCACTATGATGTACTTCCTATGACGTGATGATCACGTAAACGTCACATAGAAGGGTAAAATTAGACTTCAGTTTCATAACGTTGCAGGGGCATCCTGTCGACGTCCATGTTTCCCATGTGAAACTGTTAGGTTTGTGATGTACCTATATTTACAGGATAGACATTTTCAGTGTCGAGAAGTTTTCAGAAAAAATCGTATTTTAATTACTTCTACACACATATATACAAACATGTAAATCTTGGTAATTTTATATATATGCTTCTAACGTCGATAGAATTATAACTCATAAAAACAAATCAACCTGCAAGTTTTATTGGAATTATATGTACCCAAAAAGTACGAAAACACTTTTTTAAACTTTGACACCCTGTATATCTCGAAAACCAATCAAGCTATATATGTATATATCCAAATAAAAAAATAGGTGTACCTATATTGAAACCGTCACTTTTATATGACGTTGCAGTGGCGTGTCTATGACGTCTAAAAATCACGTCGGTGTGACGTAGCTATTTGGTGAGCTTTGTCATTCAGAAAATGTTCCAATATTTTACTACTTAGATTTCTGTTGTGTGACAAATAATGATGCATGAATATACGTTACTCAACAAAGTGAAGCTAAATACGCTAACATCCTTTTCATTGCTATCAAACTATTCTTGGTTTGCTTACATCTCGTCGACACAAACTACATAATTCTCTATACAAATACGAGTAACTGATGGAGATGCAAACTGAGGGATAGCGCTGCTGAATAGACGATTGAATGGACATGAGACCGGAGGGACCACCACCAAGCAGACTCAACAATGCATATTCAATATTATATGTCATCAGAGGTCAGTGGTGATTACCACAACATGTTCGAGGAAAATTTTGTGATGTGTGATCACCATTATGAACGTCATTTTGACATCATTTCGACGTCAGTCCGACGTCACAGATTGGTGAGTGAATAACTTCAATAAACGTTAGTAATATGACGTCATCGCGCTGTTACTTACTCACGTCATTTATCACGTCATACGATCTCTACTCCTGACGTCACCTTGGTCATTCAACTGACGTAAAAAGACGTCACTGAAACGTCATCTAGTGGCCTGGGCCAGTACGTACGAAACATCTTGTCCGGACGTTCTCAGTACGTTCTGGGGACGTCCTTATGGTCGAAATGCACCATATTGGTAAAATTTGCAACAAATATTGATCATTCTCTCAACTAAAGTCCATTTAATCTTAAATTACTTTATAGAAGTACCCTCGGAGCATGTTTTTCAACCACATTGGGATCGGTTCTCCATGAACTGTTCCACACTTTCGACTTGGGGCACACTGAGGATGGCATTATGGGCAGAGGTTTCGACAATATCTATAAAGTGTTCACCAAATCGGACCTTGCTACCGACAATGTTCTTGAAGCGAAGAAAATCCTCCGGAATAAAATCGAATTCAAGGAGGAATTAGAACCAGGGAGTTCGTTGGCCAAGGATAACATAAGGAAGGAGTTCACCGTTATCGAGAAGTTTGAAGAAGTTGATGACACTTTATTGACCAGGAGTTGTGCTGTGATATTATGCTACCACAAGTCAGTGTATTATTATAGTGTTCACGGTTCACATGAGATATTCAATTTTTTTCAGGTGGTTCAATTGTCTTCCTGTTGAGCAATCTTCGGTTTTGTCTTTTGATTCTTCCAACAAACTTATCAAATCAACAGCAGGTGTCAGAGTTGTTGAAATAAGGAGGATTGGTTCTGAAATGGTGCTGCATAACTGGGTTTTCGATGGAAGAATCATGAAGTTTTCATTTCAACTATCAGAAGATGTGATCAAAAAGTGTAACGGTGTATTCATCATTTTTGTAGAAGATACGATGGGTTTTATATTGAAAGAGACAATCAATTTGTAGAATGTTTCCGTGATTCCACATAAAGATATTTATATCTACCTACCTAACAAAATTACTATACATATACCCTTCATTGTTGGAGATACGAATGAATCCAGATAATTTTGACCACGATTTTCATAAAAACTTGCATATTCATGGAATCTTGACACACTATCACACTCTACCATGAAATATACTGAATACATGAAGAAAAAATAACTGAAAAATGTGAACATATTTACAGATGCTAGCGTGCGTCGACACCAGGTTGTTGAAATCATCATTGCATGAAGGTGTAAAAAAAACAGGACATTTACAAATGCTTACAAATTTGGACACCATGAGTGGCAATCAGAATGATGAAAGCGTTTTTGTAGTGGGCATACATTTTACGGAATGTTGACACCAGTGTTGATATTCGCATAAATTTGCTGCACAAAAAATATATAATGACGGCATCTGAACAGTTTATAATGAATTAAAGTTTCATAGTGTAACATAATTGATAATGAGAGGGGGAGAAAAAAGGATATTGTTCAACGAGCACGGAATGATAGAAATTTGTCACACTGCAAATTAAACGAGTGAGAAATTAGCATTTCAACAATACATTTTCATTTTCCAAATTCCTTCATTTTCACAATGAATAGTGCAATCTGATGAATGATTCTGAACAAACATACTTAATACTGCAACAAACAAGGTTGAACATTCATATTCCATCACCATCCACTTATATTTTGCGATAATATCATATCATGGAAAGAACCATCAACATTGAGCTAATCAAACATTTGAAAAGCTCAGGAATCATGAGTGACCATGTGGTTTTAGCCATCGAAGATCAACTAGAGATATACTTACCTACGTTACACATATTTGGCAATAAGCCTCATTAGAAAAGCCATTCCCACAAAGTCCATACAATATCTATGGTCGGTACATCCATCAGTAACACTCTTTCCATGAGAGAATCATGTTCAGATCTACCGCGAAAGCGGTCTGTCCTATAGAATACTGTATAGAACATATGGAGTTCAGCACCCAAACATGCTGATGTTCTTAGATCTCTCGTTTGAATTCTTCCGACCATTTATGAAGCAAAGGTTATAAAATTCTCGTGTTCCTGTCACGCTCCGAAACGGCGAAACGGCTCCACCGAGCCTATTCGGTAGGTATGAGAATCGTTCGTAAGCTATTTTTCAAATTGAAAATTCCAGATGGCGGATCCAATATACCGGACGAGTTTTGTGACTGATTCAATTCAAAATTGGTTTATAGGGGTTTTCGGAGTCGAAGATTATGATACTTTCGTCAAACTTTGAAAATTAGAGATGGCGGACGAGTTTTGTAATAATGATAAAATTCTATTCACAATTTATGGTCCGATTCTATTCAAAATTGATGTCTGGGGGTTTTCGGGGTCGGAGATTATGATTTCCTCGTCAAAATTATGAAAGTCGAAATAGCAGCGCGGATCCAATATGGCAGACGAGTTTTTGAATTATGGTCCGATTCAATTCGAAATTGGTATCTGGGGGTTTTCGGAGTCGGAGCAGATTATGATTCTCTCGTCAAAATTTGGAAATTAAAGATGGCGAATCCAATATCGCGAATATACGTTTTGTAATTATGATCAGATTCTATTCAAAATTTGTATCTATAGGGGTTTTTGTAATCGAAGTTTATAATTCTTTCGTCAAAATTTGGAAATTCAAGATGGAGGATCGAAAATGGCAGGCGAGTTTTGTAATCTTGATCCGATTCTATTCCAAATTGGTATCTGGGGGTTTTTGGGGTCGGAGATTATGATTTTGTCGTGAATATTTGGGAATTCAAAATGGCGGATCCAATTTGTCGGACGACTATTGTAATCATGATCGGGGTCAGGGATTATATGATTATTCCTTCGCAAAATTAGGAAAATCAAAAAGCCGGATCCAATACGGCGGACGAGTTTTTTAATTATTATCAGATTCTATTCAAAATTGGTATCTTGGGTTCGCAGAGTCGGAAATTATGATGGTTTCGTCAAAATTTGCAAATTCAAGATGACAGATCCAATATGACGGACAAGTTTTGTATTAATGACCCGATTCCATTTAAAATTTGTATCTGGGGGTTTTTGGGGTAGGAGATTATGATTCTTTGATCAAAGTTTTCAAATTCAAGTTGACGGATCCAATATGGCAGGCGAGTATTGTAATTTATGATCCAATTCTATTCAAAATTGGTATCTGTGGGTTTTCGTGGCCGATGATTATGATTCGTTCGTCAAAATTAGTAGATTTGAGATGGCGGATCCAATATGGTGAACGATTTTTGTAATTATGACCTGATTCTATTCAAAATTGGTATCTGGGGGTTCTCGGTTTTTTCTTCAAAGCTGGATAATTGAAGATGGCGGATCGGTGGTCGAGAGCGTGAAGGCGCTGAGTTCGTATGGGGACTCCCACCCGAGACCTAGGTTCGAATCATAGTTAGGCCTTGGATGTTTGTGTTTGTATGCTTACCTAACCCCGCACAAGTTTCGAATTATGCGAGGTAATGCAATTGCAAAAAAATGGCGAACGAGCTTTGTAATTAACAGTATTTTAAAAAACTGTAATGAAACACGCTTCTATAAATAGCCAAACTGGCGGCCAAACTGAAAAAAAAGTAGAATATTGATAGTATAGTTCAAAAAACGAGATAGATTGTCGAACTAAAAAGAAGTAGGAAATAAATAGTAGATGCAAAAACTGATAAAGCACGATTTCATGGAAAGCCAAACTGAAAAGAAGTAGGAAACAGAATAATAAAAGTTTTCTGATAAATATTCAGGGAATAAATGTGTATATATAATGTTCTCCGGGCCAGCTATTGCAATAAACAGTTGTTTGAAAAACTAATGGAACGCGCTTTTATAGATAGCCAAACTAGAAAATTAAGAGAACTATGGAAAAATGGAGAGTTATAGATTGCCAAACTGAAAAGAAGTATTAGATTGTTGATAAATATTTGACAAGAAAAACAATTTCTAGCAATAATGTTTATGGCTAGACAACGTCTGTCAGGTCAGCTAATATAGATATAAATTTTTCTCAATCAAATTCTGAAAACTTCTTGGACTGCAGCTACAATCAAGCTTTTTTACTTTTATTATGCTCTGTTCTCTGCCCTGTTCTTCTTGACCACTTCTGATGTATGTTGGGAATATTTACGTTCAATATCTCCCAGGATATAGCTTTTGGGTCCCAAGATATCAGAACCATAACCATCAGGAACTTTGAACACTTATTTGCTTCATTTGTAAAAATCGATATATTATTCTGCAAAATCCGTTGCGCGATACCAAAACAAAAATTCGGAACTCACCTTATTCCTCGTCCTTGACACCTGTCAAAAAACATGATATATTCAACAAAAATATTACAAGGTGGCTCGGGAAATCTCCATCAGCTTTTTGAAATTATTTGCTTCAGTGAGTATTTTCAAGAACCTCGAGCTAGAAGTTCAAAACAATTTCCAATGCCAACTCTATCTACCTATATCCTCCTTAGGCACGATATTTCACGAACATATTAAGGATTCTCTTTCGTGAGCTCCAAAAGATGAAAAAGAATGTGCGGTTAATGTATACTCTTTTCACGTTTGGTAGAACCCCACATTCCCCCTGTTGTGTTTTCAGTTTGTTTCCAAGGGATACACAATACAAACATTCGAAGTAACATCACAAGGAACACCTAATATTCCATTGTCAGTTCAGTCAGTTCATGACAGTTTTGTTGTGGGTACTTACACAATATATTTTGCCAAACTTCTACATATTCTTTACTGTTTAAATGGGTGAACCAACTGAAACTGATTTGTTGGAAGGTGAGCATTTCTTCATTCGCTCTTAATGTACGAGTTCTCATTAAAATATTAAATGCAGCAATCAAAGATTCCCTGCAAAGAGAAGGAACACTAGGAAGAGTGAATGGTGAGATAAGAGCAGCAGTGATGTCTGTTTTGAATAGAAATTTCGAAAACAGTGAACCCCCAAAGGTACCAGAGGAAACCAAACTGATAAATGAGCTGTTGAGGGAGTATCTAGCATGGAACGGATATCTGTACACTGAGCAAATATTAGTAGCCGGTAAGATATCTACAGATTTTTCAATAATAAAATAGGTTAAAAGTGCACTTATCATGCGATGGTTTTTTTTCGAAAAATGTTTCTGGTGCCTACGTATTTTCCTCTGGAAAACAGGAATTTCACAATAAAAATGTGAACAAACCGCGGTAATTTTGCACTTATCATGCGATGGGTTCTCTTTTCGAAAATGGTTTCTGGTACCTACGTATTTTTGTCTGGAAAACACCAATTTGATAATGAAAATGTCATTTATTTATCGAGATATTTCAAGTAAAAGTTCCGAAATTTGGCCTTCTTTTCCCCCTTGTGTTGGATGCATTTACAGGTACTTACCCTTTTTATTTTGTCATTGGACACTTTATATACTCATGATGTACTTCAATGAGACATTTTAAGATAGAAAATTCAACAGGAAATATGATATTAATGGCGAGTTTTTCCTATTTAAGTGAGCAAGCATACCAGATGACGGCCATTTAATCCATAGGCAATCCAAATACGAGATATCAAATGTCAATAGATTGCTATGGAATGACATTACTCACACGCCATTATTTCAAATGATGTTCTTCCTTCTTTTCACTGAACATGGATAAATCACAAGAAAATTATTTTTCTAGTTAATATAATTAAAAAAATGTGTTCGACATTGTATGATATATATAAATTGTTCAATGATGGAAAAAGGAGGGCAAATTGTTTTAAGTGCGATCCAGAAGACAGACGGAAAAGAAGGTGAAATTTCTAACTTTATAGTGGAATATCTCAATAAGTAATGGTTTGTTCACATTTTCACTATCAAATTCATGTTTTTTAGACAAAAATACGTAAGTACCAAAAAAAATTTTCGTTAAAAAAACGATCGCATGATAAGTGCAAAATTTTTAAAATTCAATGCATTCATAGGCAAGCATGAGACAAACACTCATCAAACTCAATCATCATTAAAATTTTATATATTGAGTATGACTTGTTCAAATTATTTTTCTCGAAATCTCCAATTGATAATTAGGCACTTCATCATATTCCAGGTCTAATTTAGTTTATCTTTTTCCCCTCACATAAGTACCTACCCATGAAGCATTACATTGAAAAATATTCATTCGTTATTTTCAGTAGTTACTACAAAGTGATACAATGAAATATTTTCAACTCTGTGTATTTTCAGAATCTGGACAGAAAAATGAAAAAATTGGCAGAGATGTTTTAACTACCAAATTTGGGGTAATGGACGATGCCAAAACTGCCAAAATTCCACTTTTATACTACATAGTCGCAGCCTTCCAAAATGCTGGAGAAGAATAATCTTACCAGTTTTTTTCATATTATTTACATAAAATATATTCAATTATATCGATCAAAGCGAATAAAACATTTACTTGAGGTAGTTACTTAAATCTTTATTGGTTCTGTTTCTTCATTTGAACATATTTGGCTTGTTCAGTCGCAGTGTACTTCAATGCATGGAAACCAAAGATTAGTTGTATGGATAACATCAGTAACATAATTCCTTGCACAACTTTTTCTAGAATGTACATTTTGAAATAAGGGTGGAATAGAAGAAGGCATTGGAGCGGAAACTGCAACAAAATTGATACCATCCAAAATCCGGCCAATTCTGGAATCTGAAATACGACAATGTTTTAAACCTATCGTTCATAATGTTAACACTTCCAAATTGAGAAATAACATCCCCAAAATAGAAAATAATCTCTTCAAACTAAGAATCAGCCTTTTGGTGACCCGTTTCCAAATGGGTCACTCTGTATATGTATCAATCATTTAAATTGCGATACCCTGAAAAATCTTTGAACTCATTCCAGACGAGATCGAGTTATATTTGTCATATTTAGATCAATACGGATAATCTCTATCTGTTTCCATAGCGAAACATGAAGCCGATTTTTGAAGACAAATGACTATCCATAAGGAAAAGTGAGATACGATCAGACACATACTGCTTTGATTGAAAGGCTAGTAAACGTCATTGTCCACCGAAACGCATGTCTTTGATGACTATATACGTATCATGCCACCAAATCCTTATCGATATTCATTTGTTTCATATTTTTGGCTTCATCCTGGCACCCGTTATGATCCGTATTGTTTATTATTACGTATATGATTTAGACATGAAAAACTGGACCACACCTTGTATATTACTATATTGTTTACCTTAATTTTCAGATTTCCTTCATAACCAAGGTATAACCTTACGACTTCCATGATAAAGACAGTGCACACAACTGTTATGATGATATATTTGTATAGATCATTATAGGTGTGGTACTGAAAATTAATGAATAATTATTATTATTATTGAATTAATCTAGGTATCCAGAATGAACTTCGTATATTTTGGGACTGATACTAATTACTGTTCGAAAAATAAACGAGAATTGAAGTTTGCTGATGTCGGAATATGTATTCGAAATTCGGAAGCAAACATTTGATTCAGATGTGGATCAAAATTATTTTACTGATGTGAAATGAAATAAATGAATAATGAATATATCTATCTGGAATCTTTGGATATGTAACTGAAAACGTAAATCGAATCAATAATCGATTTGTCAGCAAACATTTTTGAAAATCAGATTAATATAAGTAAACCAACTAAATTTGTGAATCGTTCTATCAATAAAATCCTTTGGATAGTAAAAGTCCGATATTTCTTTTATATACCTATATTCCTCCTCAAACATTTTTCAAAACAAAGTGTCACTGACAAACTATTGAATTTTTCTTTTAGGCTCCCTGATAAAAAATGTATTAAACGCATCGACATTTTGAAGCAAATCATCTGATTTGTCCTACCACACATATAATGAAATAATAATTAATTACTTATATCAAGTACGATGAATTATTGCTATAATTATTAATTTCGATTTTGACACAATATTGACAATTCATTTCTCAATTTGGAGTTTTTTGGTCTCAAATTGAATGGGTTTATTCTTATTTTGATTGTGTTAATCAAGTGAAATATGTAAATTCTGAATTCGAAACTGTTTATTCTCAATTTAAAAATTATTCCCAATATGTTTATTCCCATTTTGCATTTGTTTACAATTTAGGATGTGTTAAATTCCAATTTGAAATTAATAAGCCTCAATTCGAACTTGAAAAGGAATAGTAGTAATTTTGTGCTCATAACGATGATGAAATCGAAAAAGAACGAACATCGCGTTCACAAGTTTGAGGTAAGTATGTCAAAAGGTAAGGTATTATTTCTTCAAAAAGTGTTCTATAAAATTTCATCGTGACTTAAAGAATGACAACGATTTTTCAAATTTGTCTAAGTGATCAGCAGAGGATGGTCGTGGTATTACTTACTAGCTTTACCCTACCATGAAGTGAATAAAATAAATGTTTATTTGACAGTTCTTGTTTAAAATCGAATTTCCTATCGATTAAGAATATTGTATACTGGGGTGACCCATTCAAAAATTGAACTTTGTCATAACTTGTAAACGCGATGTTAAAATTTTGTTTCATTTCTATCATCATCATCAGCAGCATGATAAAATACTACAAGTTTGTCCATTCAACTGACTTTGTAGCTCCAATAATAACCAAGTTAGCAATGGTGCCGACTCAATAAGTTTGAAAACTTTGTATATTGTTGCGAAAAAAGGCATTTTGGACTCTTCAAAGCTTTTTCAGTCAAATCCCAAGATATACGAATATTACTTCGGAAGCTAATATACAAGTAGGTACCCAGCGAGCACAAAAACATCTCAGAGATGTTAAAAGTACGAGATTTCGAGACATTGAACCTCCACTGCGATGTTCTGTTCACACATGAATAGAACTATTATAGAACAGCCAATGTCCGCCGCAGGCGGCAATTATCGAGATGTCCTTGATATGTCACAAAACTACCTTCTCCCTAGTTCTTTTTAGAGCCTTTTCATGGACACAACAGAACATTTTCAACGCGTCTTGCGCACATTAAATCGCTGTAAAAAAAACATTTTCGAGGTACTCTTCTGAAGCCTTTTGTCAAAATGAACTTTTGCATTAGGATTCCATTTCCCTTGAATGAAAAAATGCATTAAAAATAGATTGAACATAAAAATATTTTCTTGATATGAAATCACCTCAATTTTTGAAATGTTCTCCACAATGCATAATTTTGCAACTGCGGAGAAGCTGTGTATTGATGAATTCGTACTTCTATATATTGATTACACTGAGGCACCGAACAACACATCTTGCATCTGATGGTCATTATTACAAACTAAATAAGTCTTCTAACACAATAAGCTTCACCAAATTCCTTTCTGTTCGTTAGCAGCGTGATGTAAGCGTGCGCTGCAAACGCGAATGCCAATTGCGAACAAGAAGAACAAAATCGAAAACAGATCAGAATTCATCGTATTGTGACGTAAGCATGATACGTTGTGGTGGGGCAAACAAAGAAAGGGCACAAAAGGACAAAAACAATACTTTTAATATCCTTCTAAGACCTCTTTGGGAAGTGCATATTACACCTCAAAAAAACATCCTCATGCCTACATTTATAAAACATCCCAAAACATCCCAGGGATACCTCTCAGTAGGCAAACAAAGAAATGCCACAGAAGAACAAAAACAATACTTCAATATCCTTCAAAGACCTCTTTGGTCACTGCATATTACGTCTCAAAATAACATCTTCATGCCAACATCCCAGGAATGTTTGTGCTCGCTGGGTATAGATAACACCGATTCGTGCATCTTCAATGACATTACCTACATTTTTGTCCAAAAACAGAAGAATAACTATGCCCCATACGGGAGCAAACACCACATTGAAATATAACGACATCTGCAACGGTAAATTTGACGTAACTTTGATTCCTGAAACAACGATTTTCTCAATTATCATCATCATATACTATAAATAAATGCAAAAAGCTCATAGTCATATCCACACAATGTTCATAAAATGAACAACAATGGTAGCTTTCGGTATAAAAACAACTACTTTCCTGGCTAATGCCACGCGGAACATTGAATTACATCCTCCTGAAATCTATGCATCGACTCGTATAAACGTATACAGATACAAGTGATTCTTTCCTGAATGCCTATTGGTTTCGATTTTGCCAGGCCACGCTAGACGCCTACAGACCGGTTTCGAGCTCTTTGATTCTCATCAGTGCATGACAGTCTCCAGCCAGCAGTCCTAAGACCGCCGACTACGCACTGCCCTGCACTGATGAGAGTCAATGAGCTCGAAACCAGTCTGTAGGTGTCTAGCGTGGCCTGGCTAAATCGAAACCAATAGGCATTCAGGAAAGAATCACTTGTATCTGTATTCGCTTATACGAGTCGATGCATTGATTTCGGGAGGATATATCAACAACAACAAATATTCTTGTGAAAACAATTACTATGTGAGATATACTATCGAAAAAAGTAAAAGAAAATAGTAGAAAATAGGTATTGTGTTTTTTCCTCACCTTCCTTCTTACAACCGTGGTTGTTCATATTAAGTCCTGGAAACATTAGGTTTGAGAATATCCCTGTTTCTGCCATGTGAAAATACTACTGCTTTTTTTCGAAATATTTCATTCATTCATGACAGTTTTCAGATCTGCAGAGATGTTTATTGGTATAACTAGGCACAAGTCAGGTTAGATACAGGTTTCAAATCATATAGAAGGTATTTGTTTGTATGCTGTTGCTATGACACAATGTTCTATTTTTCCATTGTTTGTAATGTCCTGCCTTCATGCTGTATGTGAAATGGAATGGTGAATGGAATTCTGTAATGATATTATCGTATCTATCTCTCCAAATAGTGCAAATGAGGAATATTGAATCCTGATGAATAAAAACTACAAGGGAAGCTGTACCAACTGCGGCCAACTACCGAATTGATTTATTGAATTCCATAATCTCTATATTATACGTCAGTGGATAAGACAAGAAGATAATGAACAAAAGACTATCTTGCATATATAGGTTGTTGATTCGGTGAGATGAACGTCGATGAACAAAACGAATATTTCACAAGCAAATCCAGGTATGACGGTATTGTTTCTTGATCATTGAGTGAATTGTTCATATTTTGTATATACAGTGTGTCCCGCTTTTCATGAATACACCCTTATATCTCAGTTATCATTAATGCTATTCTCTTGAAATTTTAGTGGTGATTGTATGTTAGAACAATGAACTATTTAGCAGAGTGAACAGATTCATTCACCATTGGCGTGCAATGTTGAGGGGTACAAAAAAGGCCATTATTCGAAAAAGGATATACAGGGTGCCCGTTTTTCGAGCTCCACCATGGGGATCTCAGTTATTATGAGAGATACGAAGTCGGTTAAACTAGGGCAAAGTTGCGCATTTTGATGCTGAACAATTTTCTGAAAAATTTTCTGAAAAAATTTGATGTGTCATTTTTAGTTTTTGAATTATTGAAAAAAAACGGAAATTCGTAATTTTCGTTTTTATTTTTTCAAGCGAAAACCAAAATGCCTAGACGTTTTTGACTGGGACATTCTTAAGACACTTTTTCACAAGGAATCTAAATCTGTCATCGTAATTTCCATAACGTTCTTGATGCCAAATTTACAACACTCAACTTTGTTTTTTCTTATGGGCGCCATATTGGATTTTCGCATTTTTGAAAAGCCTTCTTTTACATGATTACAATGATGTATCGCACGATATGATTGAATCCTACATGCTGATCAAAATTGGAAAAGAACATTTTTGCGAAGAGTGCTTTGGAAAGAACGGCAACAATTTTGTTTAACAAACTGAGTTTTAACAGTTTGAGCAGAACTATTGAATTCTTGAGCTAATATACAAGAATGCCGTTTACGAATGAAGAAAAGCGTGATATGCTTCAGATTTATTACGCCTCCCATCGAAATGCGCGAATTACTTCCGAAACGTATCTCCAGCGGTATCCAGAGAAAGAGCAACCAGCTCAGAATTATTTTCTATTGCTCCATAGGAATTTAGCCTAATATGGTTCATTTGTAAAGCCTAGACGAAGATACAACAATAGAGAAAATGTAAATGAGATGGCAGTTTTGCAAGCGGTGAGTGAAATAGAAAAAAATTACCTAGGATTTGAATACCTATTTTTCCTTTAGGTTCAAGATAATCGCTCGATTTCCACAAGGGAAATTGCAACAAATCTTGGCATATCGCATTAAGTGGTGTGGAGGATACTGAACAAAAACAAATATCGTCCATTCAAAATTCACATCACACAAGTTCTCCATCCATGGAGGTCGACGGGTAGAGTTTTGTAGATTTGTAATGAACCAGTCGGAGCAAAATCCAAATTTCTTGCGTAATGTTATATTAAAAAAAGTGTGTGTTTGTAAAAGTGTTTTTAACCGCCAGCTTAGTTGCAAAGCAACCCTCGAAAGTCAGAGACTTGTGTGAGTTAAGAAGACGGGGACCTTAGCTTTTTAAGTGTCATCCGAAGCACTACTCGGCTGGTAACCGTGGACAGTCCAAAGGATTGATATCTAGGTACCAAGAATGTTGGGTTGGCCACCTATCTCCTCCCGCCCAACGAAACTACCGAAAATTAATTCAGTGCTCGCGCCGGGGATCGAACCCGGACCGCCTGGGCAACAGCCAGCGACTCTACGCTCACGGCCACCAGCCCAGCATATTCACGGATGAATGCAAATTTACAAACATGGGCATATTCAATCGACACAATGAACACATTTGGTCCATTGAGAATCCCCGTGAACATCAAGAACGGCGACCACAAATACTCTTCGGCGTGAATGTATGGGTCGGATTGTTGGACGACACAATATAATTGGCCCATACATTTATGAAGAAAATTTGAATGCCGATCGGTATTACAATTTTCTGAGAACATTCCTCACGGAATATGTTGACAACAACATTTGTCTGAACCGGCTAAATACAGTATGGTTCCAGCAAGACTGCGCACCGCCACATAACGCTAGAAGGGTTGCAGAGTGTTTGTCAGAAATGTTTCCCGGCAAGGTGATTTCGAACAATGGAGACATACTTTGGCCAGCCCGATCACCTGATCTTTCCCCGCTAGACTATTATTTATGGGGAACTATGAAAGATTTAATTCACAAAACTGTACCCACCGATATTGATGAGCTGAGAAGAACAATAATCACAACTTTCAGGACGAAGATAAGAAGACGGGACATCTCGCGAGTTATTCAGAATCTGAGAAAACGTGTAGAATTGTGTTTAGAAGTGGAAGAGGGAGTATTCGAGCATCTTTTATAACTTTGTTTCATTTTGTTTTGCGAAGAATAAACTCCTAGCTTATCATGTCGTTCCTGAATCAAAACGTACGTAGTACGTAAATGAGTTACACGAAAATGTGAACGTTACAGATCCGAATTCTTTTGAACAGTCAACATTCAGTTCGATAAACCTAATTGTTGGCGTTCTTTCCAAAGCACTCTTTGCAAAAATGATTTTTTTCTAATTTTGATCAGCATGTAGGATTCAATCATATCGTGTGATACATCATTGTAATCAGGTAAGAAAAGGCTTTTCAAAAATGCGAAAATCCAATATGGCGCCCATAAGAAAAAACAAAGTTGAGTGTTGTTAATTTGGCATCAAGAACGTTATGGAAATTACGATGACAGATTCAGATTCCTTGTGAAAAAGTGTCTTGAGAATGTCCCAGTCAAAAACGTCTAGGCATTTTGGTTTTCGCTTGAAAAAATAAAAACGAAAATTACAAATTTCCGTTTTTTTCCAATAATTCAAAAACTAAAAATGACACATCAAATTTTTTTTCAGAAAATTGTTCAGCATCAAAATGCGCAACTTTGCCCTAATTTAACCGACTTCGTATCTCTCATAATAACTGAGATCCCCATGGTGGAGCTCGAAAAACGGGCACCCTGTATAGGGCTTATTTTAAATAACTGTATATATCAGATTCAGAATCAGCATTCCCTGAAAACCCACAATTCATATTTTCAAAATTTCAAGAAAAATTCAAAATCCCGCTTCTATGCCCCAAAATCTCAGTTATCAATGATGCGATTTTCTCGAAACTGTGATGGTGATTGTATGTTATTTTTTTAACATACAATAATCACTATCAAAATTGCAAGAAAATCGCATCATTGCTAATTGAGATTCAAGGGTGTTGTCATGAAAAGCGGGATGTTGAATAATTTTATTTCAGCTCTTATTGGGATCTTAAAAATATGATATGGGGGGTTTTTGGGATGCTGATTATGAATATGATAAAAAAACTTATCCAAAATGAGTCCTCTTCCTCTTATATCCTTTCACCAACATCGCACACCAATGGTGAAAATGAAACTATTCATTCTGCTAAATACTTCCTTATTCTAACATACAATCACTACGAAGAGAATCGCACCATTGATAACTGAGATATCAGGGTGTATTCATGAAAAGCGGCACCCACTGTATTATATCCACTATCCAGAGGTGAAAAAGAGAGCTATTCATGTACGAAATTGCTGCTATAAGTATTGGCTCTGAACTCTGAAGGTATACCTGAAGCATTCAAAAATCAGGTTTATTCAATTTTCAAGGATGTTCGAATTGTGGTTTCTATATAAATACAACCACAGAGTGACCCAATTATTATGTTCTCTATTGAGTCGATGAATTCATTTGGACCAGGTGTTTGCCCTAATATCAAATACCGCGCCATTGCCATCAGGTATAGAAAAAAGAAGTGGACAATGTTAGGATAGTGAGCTAGCATATCAACAATAATAATAGCGATTATTTATTTCTCTTCATATTCCACTGCGTTTATCTCGGTAATCAAATGAAGGTAAACAATATATCGTTATGTGAGACAAGAAAGTATTGCTGGCCGTGATTATTCAAAAATAAGTTATCCAACCAATCATATCCCGAGAATGAATGAAATTCAGATCAAGCACTTTATGTGGATCTTGAAGGCTTTCCTGATCGAAACAAAATTACTCAACTATAATATGGTGCATTTATATCTCCAGCATGGATATGAAAAGCCAAATCTGCCGAAATCGGGAACAAATGAGGTATGCGTCTCAACCCAAAAAACCAACTAATTATAACAATTTTGTTTATTCTTGATGACCCCTAGTACATCCTTTTCAGTTCCTAAGAGCTGAAGTTCAAGCAGACAAATCACTTTGCTGGCCATGTGAAACACATATTTTCTCCAAATGTTATAAAACCAATTTTGTTGAATTTTTCAATGAAAACTCTTTTTTCTACTACTGCTATGAAAAGTAGCGCATTTCTCATAGCTTTTACTTAGTTTCGAAACCATGTATTGCTCATACTGTGAGAAATATTTTTTCTCACGGCACTTTGCCAACACCACATACATACATTTTCATAGAGAATCGCCAAAAATCGACCAAAACTGCTGTTCAGCTTTGAATACCTAGTTGTCACAACTGTCGGAAGAAGTTTTTTGATTGCTTCATGGTAGTTCTCATTAGTGCTTTTGATAAAAGTCGCATTTTCCATAAAATATTATTCCAACAATTCATGATATATACTATGATGTATATACCGAGATGTGACGATTTTGATAAATACACCGCCAGAGACAGAGATGATGGAAGAAGCTGCAAAAGTTGGATTTGTTCACGGAAATTTCAAGAAAAAAGTATGAATTGGCATATCAGAAAAAAGTATGGAATCTAAAAAAAATACAGAAATAAAATCTTTTTCGGAAAGTGAACTTTTTAGAAATACTTTGAGGAACTAGGAAAGGCGTCTACTATTTGGTTACAATATTCAATGTGGCATAGTGCCACATTATAAAATGAATACCAATAAGTTACATTACTTTGGATTCTTTGAATAAGTGCAGTTGTAGAAAAAGTATAGTGTGCAACATGTGGGGAAAAGTGATTTTCTCACTCGTGTGTTTGCATCTGTCGCCCTTCAGGCTCGTGCCACAAACTCTCACAAGTTGAACTTTCCCCACTTGTTGCACACTATAAAAAAATCACTTTATTAAAAAAATCAAAATCCGTTGCTCTTGTTGGTACACCATTTATGATGAGCCTCAGCTGGTCGGGTTTGTCAGTCACTCATTGTGATTCTTGTAACGTTGGTTACGGCGGACCATGCATTACAGAGGAGAAATGGTCTGATGTTTTTGCAAGAACATGTTTCAATTGTGTTTTCTCACGCACATTTTTGACTACTGAGAGCGAGGAAAATATGGACGCATCCAGAATGGATGGTTTTTCCGAGAACAAGTTGATTTTCATTCAATTCCCCTTCCAACCGAGATTCGGAGGGCGTTCCAGATTTGGGTCACTTTCAAGAAAACTCTAGATCTTTGATAGCTATCTTGAGTCAATTCTGATATTCAGATCTCTTCATCTGAAGTTATATCTTCAAAATGAGCCTAAGATTTCCAAAATCGGTTGACGTGGAAAAAAGTTATGGCTGCAAAACCAAAAAGTTGATTTTTTGAGATCACCCTGTAAATAAGGGAGATAGGAAGTTGATTCGCCAAATATATATCTCGAGGTAATGAGATCATCTTCATGCCTCTGTTGTCAAAGTTGAGAAAAAAAAATGTTTTCACCATTTGAGAGCCTTTTGAATATTCCGAAATTTTGCACAGTGTCGGAAAACACCATGTAGAGATTTTATGTGAATACCCTTATGTTTCAATGAAGTACGAGATTATAGCTGAACGACTGGGCTATATCGAACAGTGTGAACCAAATTCAAATTGTTTTAAACTGAAATAAGTTATTCACATTATAACAGGGGCGACATTTTGGTGTGCGACGAAATTAGTGTTGAGTAGTTTATTTGTGTTCACCCAATGTCAGTGTTGATTATTCGATTACCAATTCCATTATAATTACTTAAAACGTTGCATAGCAACAAACTTTTCTGCATAGAATCCTAAACAGAGGAAGTACACCTTTCCTGCCTGTTAAGTGTCATGAAAAAGCCACTTTCTATGCCTTTTGGAGAAAAATTTCATCATTGTGTTCTCTTTCAAGAGTTGGAAATTACTTGGCAGAGATCTCGGGCAAGGAAAATATCATAGAAGAAATTGAAAATACTATATGCTCATGGAGCTTTACATCGGACATTGATCTACAAGCAATCAACGTTGATATTGGTGATGTTATCAAAGCAGTAAGAGAAAAATTCTTCGGAAACAATGATGATTTGGGTATTTACGAAGGTATCCACCGGTCAGTATTTATATAATTGATTCGAGGAAATCAATAAAACAATTTCCGAATGTTTTCAGTGTTGTCCACAATTTCGTCTGGGAAAATGTGATGCCACTGGTACACGCTCATTTCAATGAAGAAGATTCAGAATACCATAGAATCAGTAAATACTTTTGTAGTATGAGAACTAAACCTGGACAGATGTTGCATAATTTCAGCTCAGTGCCGTTCACAGCAGCTGTAAGTTTTTTGTACTTTCAATTTTTTCTAGACCATTTCAAAACAATCGATAAGGGCCAGAAATAATTGGTTATTACCTGATTTCTCAAATATCACGAACAACCATACAGACAGACTCTTACTTTCATGATGGTCTCTCCCTAACAAGACGGGATCTTGCTAGTACATCCCGCTAAGGTCCTACAAATGTCCCAATGTTTCAGACTTAGGTACGATATCCCAGAGATGTTTCTCTTGGGACATCCATCAGATGTTTTCATTGGATGTTCTAGAAACATCCCATTTGATCTTTTTTTTATAAACAATATCATGGTTCCATATTTGCTGATGATGATTGACATGATTGAACAGTTCAAACAATTGTGACATTTGAAATATTGGAAAGTTGGTAAAAAACGGAAATCAAAACTGTATTCGTAGGTACTCATATACTTATACCTATACCGAAGCCGGCTAATTTCATCGATAACAAATTGAAATAATTATACTAAATTAATATTCCTCAATAAGATTACCAAAGTACCTGCTTAACTTCATGAACCATGTAATGAACGACACAATTTAAATATATCTCTTCAGTATATTCATTGCTGAATTTATTTGTTATACCAGTCGATAGATGGCGGTACAACTACGTTGCTAAGAGTTACTAACAGCCGTCGGCCGAGCGCCAACAAGTATGAGCCTCAAACAACTGTTATCATCTTCCATTGGTTCTTGCACTGCACCGAACTTATATATTTTCGGATTCGAATTGTTACCTTATATCTGCAAATAGGTCGGCCATTCTCAGGATTTCAGAATGAAAATAATTCATACCGTGTCATCCATCCCTGTCATCAAATGAAAAACATCCTAAAAGTTTCTTCAAGATGTTCCATATCAAGTACCCTGAATGTCTCTGGTACATCCTGTATCATCCCACAAACATTCTGATGGGATGTATAAGACATCGCAAATGCTGAAACGGGTGTTGCCAGCAACATCCCAAGAATGTCCCAAGGAAAATAGGGATTTTCCAGAGATGTTCCTATCATCCCATATGGATGTTTCTACGACGTCTTACGGATGTTATTGTGTTATTAGGGCTGATGTATCGAATGGTAATAAAACATAATTCCCTAAATTGATTGTTGATCATTTCGATTCATACCCTCAGTTTCGAGTCACCCTGGTTGACTATCGACTGATGAGGCCTTATGGGCCGAAACAGTATCTACTGCCTGACTCTTGCGAATGAATCAAAATCCATCTTAAGCATATCTTGGAGATTGTATCTAATAGTTCTTTGCATGTCATTTGTTTCTTGTTTAAGGTAGTGGAGCTGTCTATGTTGGACTCCTACAAGAGTCCTTCAGAAAAATTGAATTGTTTGTGTACAACATATGATCTGCTGTTTGCCGAAGTGAAATCTGCATTAGTGACCTTGATATCGGAATATTCAGGTAGGGAATTAAGGATTATAAAATATAGGCATACGGTTATACACATTTTTGTTGATCTTGCGATGAGGGAAAAAAGAAAAGTCGCACGAAAATGAAATAATGCCACTTCATGGTTCATGAAAGTATATTTTCATATTTTGAATACAGTAAAATGGTGATACTTAGGACTGGGGGATAAATTAGAACTCATCTTCATATATTTTCAAATTACCCCCTGAAATTCGAAGCTGATTTCATTTTGAAACATCGTATCGTGCCTAGTAGTTCAGTATGATTACATACTAGTCTATTGGAGATAAATGGCGTTCAAATATTATTTTAAGAATGTTGTTCATCATATCGAAAATATATGCAACTCAGATAGACCTTTACCACGTGTCGTAACTCAAACACCGCTTTTACTTCGATGTCGTATCAACTTATAAGAGTACTCGCTTGGTTTTGGCACTTTCATTCCGAAATAAAAAGAGTTATTTTCCAAAAGTACAACAAGCAATTTATTCAATCACGAAAGCATATAAATGTACCAAAAAGACGAAACATCAAAGAACAAACATAAAACGAGCGAACAACAGAAACATAATGATGATTCTTGGTACTTACATTATGTCATGGGCAGCAGCATCAAAGTCGAGGAGATGTCACACCTACGGCACTATGCCACTTTGGAAGTCAGAATTCGATGAATGAGTGTTATGTACTGATTTCAATATAATAATTGGTATTGATGAATCGAATAACGATTGAACTAATAATGACCATGCCTTATCGATCCGGGTTCTATTTATATTAGGAAACGATGCTAGTTTTGCAATTTTCGGTAATGAGAATGGCCATTACCTTTCGATATTGCTTACCTAGGTATTACTGCACGGTAAACGGTTTCTGCAGGAACTGGACGTCTATATGAACTCCGCTGACCTAATCGAAACTACACTGTACTGGATGTTTTGATTTGGAAAAGTTGATTTATAGTTAAAGATCTTGAAATGAACGCGACTTTGGGAGATGTTATTCCATAGGCACTTCTTGACAATATGAAAAATATCATTAAAAGCTTCGAATCATCTGAAGACATCATTCAATATAAGGCGTTCATTTCATATAAGTTTATAACCATTTCACTAGCGCAATGCCTCGATATCACTGCTCAACAGTGTTGCCCTTATTTTTTTCTTCATTAGGAAATTCAGAGTTTGAAAAATTTGCCGAAAACGTGGAAGAGGCGCGAATGATTGTACCTATACTTTCCCACGTATATTTTTATCTGAATTATTCCAAGTATTCCAATTCTACGGACCGTATCTTGGGAAGAAGGTGTTTCAATAAAATAACATCAAAACTCTGAAAAAATTATGTTCTTCATCATCAGATATTGAAAAATACTGATGAAATTACGACAATCATTTGCTGTCTAGGTGATTTCATCCGAAAGTAATTAAATTCACACAAAAAATTACTATCTTCACTTATACAACAGATGATGAATCTCTCAGTTATTGTTTGATGATTATTGATGATATAAATTATATGAATCCAGATAGAGAACTCGAAATACCCATGATCAATAATGAGGAAGTGGTTCCAATTTTGATGGATGTTCTCATCAAATCGAAGCTACTCCATCCATGTAGTAACCTATTTTATATGAAGCTATTTGGAGCCAAAATTTTGCAACAAGACCAACAAAAAAGGTGATGAAGCACTGAACATTTTCTATATTTGGCTCTATACAGACTATACACAGAATTAATTAGTAGGTAATCATAGAAGTATTTTTGTTCGCAATATGATTTCGTATGATGTAATATTGATGTAAGCATGTAGGTACTTATTTTATAGCTTAAATTAATTTACAGATCGATCTTGAGAAGTTTTGAAACCGTCATCAATGAAATGCGAAACTTGCGAAAAAATGAGTCGATGAATGGGAGTGCAGATCATGATATGGGAGGAGATCTTCTGCATATGAATAACGATATTGATTTTTGTCAAATTATGACAATATCGCTCGCTGAAGATGAGTCTCAACCACAAAAAAACGCCACTTTGACTGCAGAACAGAAAAGAAGGCTAGTTTCTTTGGTCATGTTATCGACATCGGAAAACGACTATGTAACAACAAATGTTCCAAAAATATTCATGAAATAAACGTTTATTTTTACTACTATTTTCTTCTCTAAACATATACAGGGTATCTCACTTCAAACGCCCTCGCCCCTCGATATTTTATTATATAATCGTGCATTTCTCATCAAATTTGGACTGGTAGATACACGAAAAAAAAGGATTTGCTGCATCAACAAATTACTCATACTTGAATTATTTCTGCTGGACTAAGCAATTTTTTGTTGAATCCACCAGTTACATGATTATTCCATGGAAGCAGCTTGTTCAAATCAAGAATGTATAGTCTAATTGAATCAACAGTACCTATGATATCAATTCCATCAACAAAATATATGGTTTTATCAAAAACAAATAATGTCGATCCAAAATAATGTCGATGTTGATCCAACTATAAACATTTTGTCGATTCGATGAAATAATGATTATTTTGATGAGAATATATCTTTGAAACAACATACAAGTTTTCTTATTCCGATGTAGCAATGAACTAGTTTCAAACGGATTATTTGCTTGAATAGAGCAACTAAATATTTAATATCAAAAAAATATTTTGTTCATTTTAGATCAACTTGAGTTCTCGCCTCTAGATGGCGATCATTTCGCCTCGTCTATGCATGCCTCGAGTTCATTATATACCTACGTGAAGCCTGATCTTCATGTTTGGATCATGGATAAATCAAACCTCGGATGATTAGCAATCCGAAATCGTTTTGCACCGACTGATCATAAGTAAAGACGGGAAATCTATGCTAGAAGTCGACTAGTTTCCTTGTCTAGTATATTCTATTTCTGTGAAATTTCAGAAAGTTCCCGAATTAAATACTGACTTCATTTCAACAGAACAGTTTGTTGAACAAAAATACAGTTTCTCTTGAATCAACGAAATAATTCATTGAATCAACCAAATATTTCATTGAATCATCTGAATATTTGATTGAGTCAATATCTTGTTATTTTGAATCAAACAAAATGATTTTTTGGGCCAATTCAATATCTCATATTCATAAACAATTCATGGATGTGCTTGATTGAAAAGATCCAGAGTTTATGCAAGACATATTTACCTAATTCAAACTTCAAATTCGCTCTGAAACAAGATATAAAACTCATATCATTTCAAGATCATATTTTGTCGTGCATATATATGACACTGCGCCTGCCCAGTCGTATGAGAAATGTTGTCTAAATTGGTTGAGGATGGTATTAGCGTTGATAAGCGTAATATATCAATCAACGGTATTAGCTAGAGTCACTGGATGGTATTAGAGTCACTGGATGGTATTAGTTTGATAAGAGTTCGGACACAGAAACTTTATTTTTTAAAATTATTGTCTCAGGAATACTTCACTTGAACGTACTCATGCTACTTCCTGTATATTGAGAATACCTACCTTCAATTTAATATTAATAACTACATGTTTTATACTTATCACTGGAGTACAGTTTCATATGTGTGTATATTTTCTAATATTGAAATGTTGTTATATGCATTCATTTCATTTATATAACAGTTGTTCTGCTAGAATAAGTGTATCACTATAAATTGAAGTGGGTTTTTGTACCCTATATATCCATTGTCCATCTACGGCCATGATTGATTTGACAGAAAATATAACCTCTAAAGTCGTATCTGACAATCAGGCGCTACTAGGGAAAACACAAAGAGCAGAATATATGTCTCAAGTCTTAAACCATTGTATTATAGAAAATAGAAAAGGACAAAATTTCAGCTGTGTCCGAACTCTTATCAAACTAATACCATCCAGTGACTCTAGTATTAGCAAAACCTACTAATCCTACTATTCTCTGGTATTAGCAAAGGTATTAGTCTTCCCACTTCTCAGTAGGAAATGTGTACTCTGGTGTACCCAGTATATCAATGACGGCCAAATAACGGGTATAACCCGTCAGACACTCTAGATATTTAGCCGCCATTGCCCAGTAGAACTAGAACAGCATGGAACCACAGATGGTGTTGCATAAAATGGGACAGATACATCATCTGATATTTGCTTTCTGTGTCAAGTGTCAACTCACAAGTTGTCATATCCGTCATCTCATCTGGCATGTCTATGCGTCCGGTTGTCGGAGGAATAAATATAGGATTCCTGAATGGATTTAATTTATGGATCCAATTTTCATGAATGAAATCTCAATATCATCTGGGGATACAATGGATTGTCAAATGTAGAATACAATCATCATATTCCACATCTATAAGTAAAAACCAGTCAACAAAACAGGTCAGCTACTTCTATGTGCCCGACTGGCGGTCATATATACATTTCCAAGAAGAAAGATCTCAATTTTACCAACGATAATTCATAAATGTCGTATTTGGTTTTGCGCTTTTTGTGAGAATTTTGTGAGTTTGTGAGGCTGTTGAATTGGGTGTTTATCCGTTATTTTTGGATATTCAGTAAGAATATTTTGTTTTCTGTATTAATCCTATCTTCGAAATAATTCCATAGCTGATACTTGTGTTATTAGTTTAGAAATTTAAGGTTAACATTTCAGAAGGAGACTCTTTTAACTTGTTCAATGAACATCAGCTTCAATTCGAAGCTTGTTTGGTTTGCAAATGCTCGGTACTATAGAACTACAATTTGCATAAGTAAAAGCTAATGATTGAATAGAAGATTTTGCTTATTAAAATTCAAATAACATCTTATCCTTTTCAGCGGTAAAATTGGTGGTATGATTGAGGATTTTTGAACAACTGAGTGAAAGACAACGTATAATTGAAATGGCAGCACTTGGTCAACAAGCAGCAGCAGCTTTACTGGACTTCAACCAGAAGCTAGATATCAATCTCCTTGATAGTGTGGTAGTGAGTATGTATAGTGGAAATGGAGACACTCAAAGAATTGCCCAGGAGGTATTGACAACTTTAAAAGAACATCCTGATGCTTGGACAAGAGTTGATACAATTTTGGAGTATTCAACAAATCAACAAACAAAGTACTATGCTCTTCAAATCCTGGAACAAGTTATCAAAACAAGATGGAAGGTTTTACCAAGAAATCAGTGTGAGGGCATAAAAAAGTACATTGTATCTCTTATCATCAAAACAAGCTCAGATGCAGAAACATTAGAAGCAAACAAAACATACCTCAACAAATTGAATATGATATTGGTGCAAGTGTTAAAGAGAGAATGGCCTAAAAATTGGGAGAGTTTCATACCAGATATTGTTGGGGCAAGTAAAACAAATGAGAGTTTGTGTCAGAATAATATGATTATTCTGAAATTATTGAGTGAAGAATTGTTTGATTTCTCATCTGGACAAATCACACAGACCAAAGCTAAGCATTTGAAAGATACAATGTGTACTGAATTTTCTGCTATATTTCATTTGTGTCAGTTTGTGTTGGAAAATTCCCAGAACCCACCTCTGGTAAATGCAACCCTTGAAACACTATTACGCTTTCTCAACTGGATTCCCCTTGGATACATATTTGAAACAAATCTGATAAACACTTTTATATTCAAGTTTTTACCAGTACCAATGTTTCGCAATGTTACATTGAAGTGTCTCACAGAAATTGCAGGTGTTACAGTGCGCAACTATGATGATATGTTTGTTCTCCTATTTACACAAACAATGACACAATTAGAAATTATGTTGCCCTTGCAGACTGATATAAAATCAGCTTATGCATGTGGACAAGACCAAGAGCAGAATTTCATTCAAAATTTGGCACTGTTTTTGTGTACATTCTTAAAAGAGCACAGTAACATTGCTGAAAATCAATTCAGTACAATGGTGAAGGGTTTGCGGTACCTTGTACTGATTTCAGAGGTAGAGGATGTTGAAATATTCAAAATTTGTCTGGAGTACTGGAACACCTTGGCATCAGAGTTATACCAAGAGGTACCTCATGGAGGAGCCAGGTCCGTATTTTTTGGTAGACTAGGAGTTTCTAAAGAGGCATTTGTTAACATGTATCAGGATCTGTATAGGGAGGTGCTCAATAAGGTGAGATACATCATGATTTCAAGAATGGCAAAGCCTGAGGAAGTTTTGGTTGTTGAGAATGACAATGGGGAAGTAGTCAGAGAATTTATGAAGGATACAGACTCCATAAACTTGTATAAAAATATGCGTGAAACCCTTGTGTATTTGACTCACTTGGACTGTGCAGATACTGAAAGAATCATGACTAACAAACTGCAAAACCAAGTGAATGGAACAGAATGGTCCTGGAAGAATTTGAACACTCTGTGTTGGGCCATAGGGAGCATTTCTGGTGCTATGCATGAGGAAGACGAAAAAAGATTCCTTGTGACTGTTATCAAAGATCTTCTTGGGCTGTGTGAACAAAAACGTGGGAAAGACAATAAAGCAATCATTGCATCTAATATCATGTATGTTGTTGGGCAGTACCCAAGATTTTTGAGAGCCCATTGGAAATTTTTAAAAACTGTGGTCAACAAGCTGTTTGAATTCATGCATGAGACTCATGATGGTGTGCAGGACATGGCTTGTGATACATTTATAAAGATAGCTTTGAAATGCAGGAGGCATTTTGTTACAACTCAGATAGGAGAATCTTGCCCATTCATTGAAGAAATATTGGCTTCTATCTCTACTATAATATGTGATCTGCAACAGCAGCAAGTGCATACATTTTATGAAGCTGTAGGGTATATGATATCAGCTCAAGTGGATGCTGCCACACAGGAAGCTTTAATTGAGAAATATATGATGTTACCCAATCAAGTGAGTGAAACCTGCCAATTTTAACATAATACATAACTATTTTGACTAGAATTTTGATATAACCTCATTTTGAAGAGTGGTAGTAAAAATGTTTTATGGACTGATGAATAATTCATGTGTTCAGTTAATTCCCCAAACCTTGTTATACAGGGAGGTCATTTTTCTATTCTATACTCAAAATATACAAAGTATTCCAAAAACTCTTGAAGTACTGAATCAGCCTATTTCAGCTCATTTCAGTGTGGTTGGTGAAATTCTACCTGGTACTCATAATGAATTCAGATGTTCATTATGAAATGATGAATATCAGTGGGTCTTGAAATTGTTGAAACACAGTGGATCATCCCATTCTCTTGAGTGGAGGCACCTTTATTCTTTATATATTTATATTCTAGAAGATTTCAATGATTCACCTTATAAAAATGACCACCCTGTGTCATTTATATCATTTGAATTATGTGCTGACTGAAAATTCTCATAGTAGAATAGCTATCTAGAAAGGAAGATGGCAAAAGCATCAGAAAAAATATAATATTATAAAATTATAGGACAAAAGATCACATAATACAAGATGTTCCACTTGAACAAAAGAAAGAAACTGCAAATTCCTGAACACATTTTAAACTGATTGAACCATTGTTCACAATAAATTGCTTCCTTTCGCCACTAGATGGTTCCAAAATTTGCCGAAAAATATATTTTGTGGTTTCTCTCAAACCACTCTTTCCACTGTTGAAAATCAATATTTTGTATACATGGTGAGTAAAAAATGTGCTCCAAGCTTTCTGGATGTGATAATAAAAAATAAAATCAAAATCTGTAAGGTAGATATATCCTTCCAATAACATTGAAATAATTTCCCCACATAACTTCTGAGAGGAAAATGCCACCAGAGTGAATATTCATGCATAAATGTATGTTGATATTGTAATAAAAGTTGTTTTCAAAGGGTGAGTCATGATTTTTTGAAGGCAACACTTCTCCTCCTATTTTTTTGTGAAAAATTAGAAGCATTCCATGGAGCAAAAAAAATTGACATGATATCAGCAGATAAATTCATCAGGAGCTTCTTGGATGGACTATCTCTATTTTTCGTTCTTAATCATTCTTCTTCAGGCAGTCAATCTGCACAATCCTCAAAATTGTTCCAGAATTTGGAATGCGTCAAACAGGAAACATCTCAGCATAAAGAATAACCTGCAATTTCTCAAAATTTCAGTTGAAAATCGCAGTAATAATGTTACTAAGCAAACAAACCAAACAAGGAAATTAACAATATCAATGTTCATGTCATAAACGTCAAACTTAAGAACAAAATTCATCATGGCCTCCTAAAATATTATTACCAATGATATTATGCTAGATATTATGTGACTACAGAAATACAAATATCTGGGAAATGGTTGAACTTTTTGTATTTTGAAAATGTAACCGTTTTCATGTATTTTTTTTTGCTCTATCAAATGCTTCTATTTTTTCACCAAAAAGAATACAAGGAAAAATGTACTCAAAAAACCATGACTCGCCCTCTGAAAACACCCTTTATAACAATATCAGAAATGTGGAAGTGTATCAGAAAAATGTATTTTATCAACATACTTAAGCAGGAAATTTTAATCTGTTAGCTTTCACTCCAGCTTTCTCTGTTTAATATACATTTTGGGCCATTAGTTTATTCCGAGGTTTATTCATCAAACTATACTTATTTTCCAATGTACTCTCTCCTCCAAAAAGCTCAGTACACATTTTTGATTCACCCTGTATATATATTATTTTCTCCAAAATGATTTTCTTTCAATTTGGTATTTCTGATTATTGTAGTAAACTTTTTATTTCATTTTCCTATACTTGATTTTTTTTCTCCCAATTTTAGTAACTGCAGTGTTTGGGAAAATTTCTGTTGAAATCTGGAAATATATCATCTGAAATAACTCCAAGTAAGCTCATTGGGCTTCTCTGTGAGTTTGTTTGAAAAAAAAAGATGATATTTTTGCAAAAATATTACATTTTCAGTGATACTTACCAAAGATATCAATTCCGAAAAAACCCGGGATTCAGTTCCAAACTTGAGATTTTCTAGATTGACCTAGACCAGGATCGTGAAACCATCTAACGGCGAAATGGAGCAAGTAACTGTCATTTTTTAGCAGTATTTTGGTCATTATTCATTATTTTGATTTTACCTTGATAGTATCAGCCAGGAAAGTGGTTGTTTTCTGTTGGATATTTTAACATTGATTTTCGTATTATCAATACACTAGTTCAAATTGAAAGTGAAATAGTGAGTTGTTTCAATTGGAGAAAGTTTGAGTTAATTCATGACTTTATCAAAATATGGTTTTCACTCATAACAAATGTCCCTATTCTCTATCATTTTGAAAGAAATGATTCATCAGTCAATGAGATTTATACACTAATATGGTATATTGCACAAATTCATTAATATTATTTTTTAGGTTTGGGATGACATCATCAGCCAAGCCAGTAAAAATGTCGATTTTTTGAAAGAGATTGAAATCGTCAAGCAATTGGCTAGCATTTTGAAAACGAACGTGAGAGCCTGTAAAGCTCTCAATCATGCTTATGTTCTTCAACTTGGACGAATATACTTGGATATGTTGAATGTTTATAAGGTTAGGTCTGTTTGGTTGAAGATATTTGATCATATTCAATGCTCTGGAGTCAAGACCCAGTAGTTTTACTCCTGTAGGTATCTCTAGTGCATATATTTTTTACAAGAAATCACAAAACATTTTTGAAATTAAAATGATGAAGAAATAATGAAGAATTCCATGTTATTTCAACAAGTCATAATCTTCATTCTTTACCAGAGAAAGAACATCCAGTATTTCAAAGAATTACTGAATGGAATACATTTTGATCTGAGGATAATCAATATTTCCATAGAATTCAGTGAAATTGCATAGTTCCAAGGATTTTGAAATCAGTATAGAACTAGAAGATATCCGACAAATTATTGACAAACAAAAATCTTAGAGGCAAATCAAATCCTAGAAAAATTCAAGAAATCACAGGAAACTCCATGAAAGACAGTCAATACAATTCTATAAAAATCCAAGGAATAACTAAAGTTTGATAGCATACTGTCGAAAAATTACAGAATAATAGAAAGAATTACAAATTATTCCAAGATAATTTCTAAGGATTCCAAGGAATCTGAACAAATTTCGAATTGCATATTTCAAGCTATCTATTCATTTAGTTTCAATGAATTACAGCCGAATCAAAAGATTTCCAAGGTGTGACAAAGAATAATGTGGAATACGGAATTACAAGATATACCAAGAAATTGAAGGAATGTGAATGAATATAATATAATAACACTACAAACATTTTGAAATACTCAAGGAATTTCATGTAACTCAAAAGAAATTTCAACTAATTTCATAATTTAGTTAGCCATTCGCCGTAGAAATGTCGGCTACCTTACACTTTTCTATTAATGAATCCACAGGAAATGTTCCTTAGAGGTATCTACTATAATTCCATCTTAGTTGTCATCCTTGAAATATGTTGAACAACTCTTTACTAAAACTCGTTAATCTATAGAACGGCAAAGCTTTGGAATTCTTTGCCAATGGAAGATTCCCAAGAACTTATAACCTTCAAAAGTTAAAAATAAATCCCAGCACCTACCTCCTCTCCCTATCCTCCGTAGGTAAAAAGAAACGAAAACTATTGGAAATTACTTCAATTCCAATCAATCACAAAGGCTTTTAAACTAACTTGATTTCTGAAAAATTCCAGTTTGTATAAAAAAATACAATTCACAGTAGTATTACACCGAGATTTACTTACTCAATAAAGACCTACCCTAGGAGTGAGCTCACTGGGACTGTGACCCTAGTTGCGTCTCTACCCCTCAACAATATTTTTTTCATAAGACTTCTTCTTGGGGTTTAGATTCGGTAAGTCCATATAGGGTAATTACAAAAACGTTTCGCCCATGGCCATTGGCTTTGTCAATTTTTATTATTAATAATACATGGTGATGATCTGTAAAAAATGCATTTGTACAGTTTTAATGTTATGATGTACTTAAAAAAGTTACGTACCCCAACCAAAAAAGTACCAGTTTCAAAACAAAAATTATTATTTTAGCTGTATATGGCTCAATGTGGTGGAGTATCGTCTAATAGAATTTCCATCAATGCCAGTGGACTGATAATGAATTATTTGCATTCAATCACTCCACTGTGTCGTTAGGGACCTAAATTAAAAATGTTCCAACACTTCTTGCGCTTTTTTCATGTAAATAATGTGTTTATGCATTGTTCAAAATTATTGAATTTCAGAGCTCATTTCAACCGTACTGTCATGGCCGCCATTTGGCGATACGTCGAACAAATGGTAACGTCAGTTTTTATGCTGTTTCGTTATTGGTAAGATAATCTCCCGAAGTTGTAAAGTCACCAATTATAATCTATCAAAAAGATTAGAGTCCTGTCGTTGAATAAAACACGATATAAAACATATTATGAGGAAGCCATGTTATTATAGTTCAATCTTGACTTTTTCGCACAACCAGCATTTAAAATTATCACCGTAACAAAAGAACATGTTGATGTTGAAGACGGCAACAATGTGCTGAATGCTAAGAACTGACAAGCACCGCCCACAATTCGTGCGCCGTGTTGTCACGTCTATCCTCAAATGTCCTCTAGTGTGAATTGAAATAATAATATTATGAACACAAATGTATTATAGATGAGGGAATATTTGGAGACATCCGATTTCTCAAGTCTAATTAGGAAAACAACCAATACAGAATTGAGAATATGAATTATTGAATAACTGATATTTCTGGAGTTCTAATCGTATATCAACTGTGCTGTCGCCAATCAATATTCAACAACAATGTACAAAAAATTCAAGTTACACGAATATAGTGGAAATTTGAGAGTTATCAGCCAGGTCGAAATTGAAAATTCATTCGAACGTTTTTGTTCCATATTTTTTCATTGAACCGGTCAAAGTGTGCCGTGTAAATTGAAGAGCAGCTCCTATAGCATTTTGTCTGATCTTTTGGAATCTGATGGAATTTTTCTAGAAAAGTGGCCAAAAAGTGAACTTTTTTGACAAAAATGAAACATGAAATTTTCCCAAGTCCGGACCTGGATATTTCTTTTCATAATATATCAACTTGAATAGTTTCAGTAAAGGTACGTCGCTGCCGAATTTCAGCAGATTACGATGAATCATTTCTGTAATATCGGCCATCAAAGTTATATAGCAATTTCACATACTACCCTGTATCTTCGTTATGGAGGGTCAAAAAATGTTTTCATATATATATACATCAACTCGTCTTGATTTCCCCTATTAACCATTTGGCTATGTGAGTCTTCTCATGAAACACCCTGTATATACAAATTTTCATAATGAAAATAAAGCATTCATAAAGCGATGGAAGAGGCAACTTTATGGAATTACACGTCAAAGGTAAGGCTTTCGTCATTTTCTGCTCGCTCAAGTTTCTTGAAGACTTTTGAGCAGGGTTGGCATGAATTAATTCATATGAATTAAATCAGTGATTTAATTCGTGAATTAATTCCATTGACTTTTTTCGAAAAAGTCATGAATTTATTCAAATTTTGAAAAATGAGACAAATTGCACTATTACCTTTGATTTTAACTAGTTTAAACTGAAAAATTCGATCGTACTTTGGCAAGACTTTGTTATTTCAAGCATGACAGAGATTTTTACTAACAGATATATACAGTATCAAGATCATCCATAAAGTCCATTACATATGAGAACAGGTTTATTATCACAGCATCAAATTTTTTTCTCTCGGCGATCCATTATGCATATCCGATAACTTGAAAATCGATTTTGACACATGTCACGTGATCACTGGTATGGATAAATAAAAATAATACTATAAAGCGGCGACGAAAAGTGGGGTTAGATAGCAAAATATCCATAAACATGTGTTATTGAGTTGCTATTCCACATTCTGTTTCAAGCAATTTTTGGAGGAGAATTGGAAATAGCTATATTTTTTCGAATATTCTTCAATTTTGTTACAATTCTCTTTTTCATTCTGACAGTAGTGATGTTGATGATGTACAAGTTGAATAGAATTCAATTTCATGCTCACATATGGAGTTTCCAGCTATTATTTGAGAAAACTGAAAATAGCTATTTTTATTTTTTTTAAATAACTTCATCTTCCCATCTAACCCCACTTTTTGCCATCGTAATTTTTTGAATTTACCGCCCTACCAGTGATCAAGTGACATGTGTCAAAATCGACTTTTAAGTAGTCAGACAGGCATAATATAGATCCCCGAGAAAAAATCTTTCGATATTCTACTAAATACACTCTTTCTCCATGTGTTACGAACTTTATGGATGATACTGGATCTATATGTATCTATTATTCTGTATTCTATCATCATTTTTAATTTTGTTTTGAAAAAATGACATATGATGTTATTCTACAAGATTTCTGAAGGGAATAAAAACATAGTTTTTTTGTTTCTTTTTTCTATTTAGCTTTGGGTAAATGAAATTTGTTTGTTTTTTTTTTCAAATGAATTAATTTAAAAAAGTCTGACTTAATTCAAAAAGTCGGACTTTGTTGACTTTTTTATAAAAGTCATGACTTATTCCAACCCTGCTTTTGAGGGTTGCTCGTAAGAGGTCAACCGAATGACGGAGAAAGCAATCAATTAATGTGCAATTACCCAATATCGACTTATTTTCGAACCAAATCCAAACCCCAAGAAAAAACCTTTTGAAAAACCAGATTCAAGAATTCACCGCCTCCAAGGAAAATCCTCTTCCACCTTCCAGGTCATGTCCGAAAACATAACCGCCGCCATTCAACTCAATGGCGAGGTCGTCACCAAACAGCCCCTCATCAAAGCCATGCGCGTCGTCAAAAAGGAGACCCTCAAGCTGATCTCCGATTGGATATCGCGTTCGAGCGACAATGGCATGGTGCTGGACAACTTCATTCCCCCGTTCTTGGACGCCGTGCTGCTGGACTACCAGAGGACGCAGGTAGCGGCCGCCAGAGAACCGGAAGTGCTCAGTGCTATCGCTACGATAGTCAACAGGCTGGAGAGTCATATCACGCTCGAGGTAAGTCATGATTCAGCTGGGTACTCGATGTAAATAGTTGAATTTCATTTATCCGATTCCGCTACCGGAATCTTTCAATGTGTAGTTTTATTCGCAACTTTTCCGATTCCGGTTGCTACTTTTCATTCCGTCTCACTACAAGGAATGATGTGGAATGACTGTTGACAGTTGTCAAACAATGAAATAAGATTGATGAAAAACGAAACTTTCTGAAAGTCGAAGACCTGTAAACGACATTTTTATTGTGAGGTTCACGAGTTTACGATTCTTTCTAGTAAGACAGGTTTCAAAATGAATACTCTCATTCTCAGAGAACATTCTCCAATCAGCACAATCACAGCTCCAGAATAGCATTGATTCATTTTCTTGATTTTTTACTTTAATATTATGATTTTGAAATTATTAGGGCCCCAATATACAAATATATCATCCACAATGTGTCAATTCTCTCATGCAAGGTCATGAAGTTTGTCGTTTTATTTGTGAACATCATTCTGTTCCTACCACTGTTACCAGAATGGAACAAATAAAACGCAACTATGTTCAGGGCCGGCAAAGAAGATATGGTTTCAGGCAAGATGTAGGTAGAACTTCACATCTTCTGTCAACATTAGCTGACTCTTTTGATTTTTTCATGTGAACATTAAGATAGTCATTAACATGAACTGAAAATTATGTTTGGAAGCGAATTATATATGGTATTAAGAGTATCTAACATACCCATGCACAGATGTCACCATATCTGTTTTTATTTTCATTCATCTATTGAAATCGAAATTCCCATCAAGAAAAACGTTGTTTTCAAGAAATTCATACATTGTTCAAACGGGAACGGTTGAGATCACCTGTATCTCCATTTTGGAACATGAGAGCTGAGAAGAATGAAAAGTTGAACTGCCGGATCTTCGAGAATCTGCAGAAAACGGAGTATTGGTGAGTTTCCATATTTCCGATGAGTTATTACTACGGCCCTTACTTCACAGCGATAGTCAACAGGCTGGAGAGTCATATTAAGCTCCATGTAAAAACAAATTTGTAAAATTTGTAAACTTTGTATATCGCCACTTCAAAGATGGGAACCAACTCCCCAGAAGTCGAAACTTGTGCGGGGTTAGGAAGAGCGGGACCTACAGTTTATAGTGCAATCCGAACCACTTCTACGGAATCGAGGGGCTGCCAGGATTACAACCTTGAATCACAGATTTTTTCAATTCGGATTCGAACCGACAGTACCTTCGTATCGTGAACGGTTATCTAGCGAATTTCAGCGCATAGACAAACTCGGCGCCCCCGTGTCAGTAATGCTTTAGCTTGGTACTCAATGTAATGTTCAGATTTAGGTAGTACTCCGCATCTTTCGTCATCATTAGCTGACTTTTTTAATTTTGTATGTGAACATTAGGAAAGTCATTAACAGGACCTGAAAATCAAGTTCAGAAGCGAATTATATATAGTCTTTGCAATGTTACTTGAGACACTAATGTAGATATTCACAGGTACTCTATCTACCATACCCATGCGCAGGGGTCTCACCATGTTTGTTTTTATTTTCCTGCATCTATTGAAATCAACATTTCCTTCAAGAAGAACGTTGTTATCAAAAAATCAGTCTGAATTATTGTTTTTATTGTTTATTGAGAAACTAGTTGATTACAAACAAAAATAATAAAATAACGTAAGGTGACAACAACAACAACAAATCTAAAAATGATGAATCGATCAAGTCATAAAAAAAGCAACAGGGACTAATCAGTAGATGGCAAAGTATCAATTTTATCCATTTCGTAAGTAAATCATGTATTTTTTAAATTCAATTTTAAATTTTGAAATATGTCTGCAATTTTTGATATTATGTGGTAATTCATTGAATTCAGCTAGAGCAGCGTGAATGATTTTCTTTTGGCCAATTATAGTAGCAGAATCAAGATGAAATAAGTTCAATTGTCTCGTGTGATGAAGAATATAGCTAACAAATAGCTAACAAATAAAAAACTAATAAAAAAATTGAGGAAGAAGAGAACTTGGGGTGGTTGTTGATGTTTATATAATGAAAAATAACGATGATCACTATGGTCACAACTAACAAAACAACTTCAAACTATAAACTGGAGATTAAAAATCGATACAAGTGAAACTGGTAAACAAAAACATACATAACCACAAATTCAGATCAGATCTCGGTGTACCTGTTAGTGACGGGTTTTCAACAATGATTGAGTTCCACGTGACCAATTTTGACGCGGCGTCTCTTTTCCACCCACGTTAAAAAAATACGAATGTGTTCTTCGTTGCATAGTTATCTGTCACGTAGTTTTCAATCACTGTTAAAGACCCGTTTTTTTGTGTGGTGTGGACGGGTTCGAAGTATTAACTTCTGTTGCTAGATATAATCCGCAACTTTCTTCTTAGAAAATAGATCCGTTTTAAAGGAACAAATTCATTTGCAAAATGATAACTGAGAAGATATGATTGTCATTTTGTAATATGAATAAAGTGGAAAATGATGATACTATTGCAACATATCGTATATTAGTAATCAACTTCATCCAGCAAATGAGATATTCATGAAAATTATTCATAATACTCGACGAAGTAGGATTCAAACCCCTATTATATCCCTCTGCTGTTATGAAGTAATTATAATGTATTCAGAGAGTGTCGTACGGACACAGGGAATCGTATTTTAACTTTGTGTGAATATGGCTTTTCTATGTAGTGCGTCATTGGGATGAGAGAGGAGCCAAGTTCGTTTTTCAATTTTTCAAAATGTTAAATCAAATCTTACGAAAATAGAAAAAATACGTACCTATTTTTTATATACTCCAATCTTATAAGTACCTATGTAACTGTATTTTGTGATATTAGTAAGTATATTTCAATTGAGAATCGGGAATATGATAATTTTCTATGATAATGTTTGTTTCGTTTATTCCTATTTTGTCGGAAATAGGTTACTTTTTTTTTTCTAAAAATTCATAATGTTTTGACTTCATAGGTTTATTTCATTATCCTTTCTTGGAACTCGTGTAGCATTAAATAGATATGAATTTTTGACAATGTATTTATTGATGAAATAACAATTGAACTGGCAACCCTGGTCCGCGCGGACAGTGAGTTGACAACAACTGTCATTTGCTGTTGTCAAATTATGTGATGTGGATATAAGTGTTTGAGGTCGACGAGATGATGTAACATTCATCTCGGCGAAAAACTGTCTATTGTCTCGCCAGATTTGCAGACTTGCCTATAATAGAAAGGTTTCCGTCCTTGGTACACTCTTCTTCAAAGAACATGTCGCACATGGACAGTGTCAGCTCTCTAAATCACCGCTGCAATACGAGTGCTCATACCGTCCAACCGCGACATGTTCTCTGAAAACGAGTGTACATGAATATCTATTTTCATCGTATCCGAATCATCTAAAATCACTTATAACAGGAAATAAGTTAGTGAAGAACGATCGCTTTTTTTTGTTATCTGACATGCATAATAGATCCCCGAAAAAAAAAATGTTCGTTACTCTTGATAATATGAAATTTTTCCCCCAATGTTTCGTATTTTCTGGATGATGGAGGGTGTTTTTGCGGTAAATGAAGTACATCTTGAGAATTTTGGGATATCACTCTATCGTTTTCAACGTGCGATATATTATCAAATCATTGTTTGGAAATCAATTGTTATTCCAGGTACCGAAAATCTTCGACGTAGTGTTCGAATGCACCTTCGAAATGATCAACAAGTACTTCGAGGAGTACCCCGAACACCGGACGAACTTCTTTCTACTCCTCCAGGCTGTTAACAACCACTGCTTCGCGGCCTTCCTCAACATACCACGATGAATTTTTTGTGTTATCGGACATGCATAATAGATCCCCGAAAAAAAATTGTTCGTCACCCTTGATAATGACATTTTTCCCCCTATGTTTCGGATTTTGTGGATGAAGGAGGGTTTTTTCGCCGCAAATGTAGTATATTTGAAGCAGATTCACAAAACTTAAGAATTTTGAGAAATCACAATATCGTTTTCAACGTGCGATATATTATCAAATCATTGTTTGGAAATCGAGTGTTATTCCAGGTACCGAAAATCTTCGACGCAGTGTTCGAGTGCACCCTCGAAATGATCAACAAAGACTTCGAGGAGTACCCCGAACACCGGACGAACTTCTTTCTACTCCTCCAGGCTGTTAACGACCACTGCTTCGCGGCCTTCCTCAACATACCACGATGAATTTTTTGTGTTATCGGACATGCATAATAGATCCCCGAAAAAAAATTGTTCGTCACCCTTGATAATGACATTTTTCCCCCTATGTTTCGGATTTTGTGGATGAAGGAGGGTTTTTTCGCCGCAAATGTAGTATATTTGAAGCAGATTCACAAAACTTAAGAATTTTGAGAAATCACAATATCGTTTTCAACGTGCGATATATTATCAAATCATTGTTTGGAAATCGAGTGTTATTCCAGGTACCGAAAATCTTCGACGCAGTGTTCGAGTGCACCCTCGAAATGATCAACAAAGACTTCGAGGAGTACCCCGAACACCGGACGAACTTCTTTCTACTCCTCCAGGCTGTTAACGACCACTGCTTCGCGGCCTTCCTCAACATACCACGATGAATTTTTTGTGTTATCGGACATGCATAATAGATCCCCGAAAAAAAATTGTTCGTCACCCTTGATAATGACATTTTTCCCCCTATGTTTCGGATTTTGTGGATGAAGGAGGGTTTTTTCGCCGCAAATGTAGTATATTTGAAGCAGATTCACAAAACTTAAGAATTTTGAGAAATCACAATATCGTTTTCAACGTGCGATATATTATCAAATCATTGTTTGGAAATCGAGTGTTATTCCAGGTACCGAAAATCTTCGACGCAGTGTTCGAGTGCACCCTCGAAATGATCAACAAAGACTTCGAGGAGTACCCCGAACACCGGACGAACTTCTTTCTACTCCTCCAGGCTGTTAACGACCACTGCTTCGCGGCCTTCCTCAACATACCACGATGGATTTTTTGTGTTATCGTACATGCATAATAGATCCCGGAAAAAAAATTGTTCGTCACCCTTGATAATGACATTTTCCCCCTATGTTTCGGATTTTGTGGATGAAGGAGGGTTTTTTCGCCGCAAATGTAGTATATTTGAAGCAGATTCACAAAACTTAAGAATTTTGAGAAATCAAAATATCGTTTTCAACGTGCGATATATGATCAAATCATTGTTTGGAAATCGAGTGTTATTCCAGGTACCGAAAATCTTCGACGCAGTGTTCGAGTGCACCCTCGAAATGATCAACAAAGACTTCGAGGAGTACCCCGAACACCGGACGAACTTCTTTCTACTCCTCCAGGCTGTTAACGACCACTGCTTCGCGGCCTTCCTCAACATACCACGATGGATTTTTTGTGTTATCGTACATGCATAATAGATCCCGGAAAAAAAATTGTTCGTCACCCTTGATAATGACATTTTCCCCCTATGTTTCGGATTTTGTGGATGAAGGAGGGTTTTTTCGCCGCAAATGTAGTATATTTGAAGCAGATTCACAAAACTTAAGAATTTTGAGAAATCAAAATATCGTTTTCAACGTGCGATATATTATCAAATCATTGTTTGGAAATCGAGTGTTATTCCAGGTACCGAAAATCTTCGACGCAGTGGTCGAATGCACCCTCGAATTGATCAACAAAGACTTCGAGGAGTACCCCGAACACCGGAGGAACTTCTTTCTACTCCTCCAGGCTATTAACAACCACTGCTTCGCGGCCTTCCCCAACATACCACGATGAATTTTTTGTGTTATCGTACATGCATAATAGATCCCGGAAAAAAAATTGTTCGTCACCCTTGATAATGACATTTTTCCCCCTATGTTTCGGATTTTGTGGATGAAGGAGGGTTTTTTCGCCGCAAATGTAGTATATTTGAAGCAGATTCACAAAACTTAAGAATTTTGAGAAATCACAATATCGTTTTCAACGTGCGATATATTATCAAATCATTGTTTGGAAATCGAGTGTTATTCCAGGTACCGAAAATCTTCGACGCAGTGTTCGAGTGCACCCTCGAAATGATCAACAAAGACTTCGAGGAGTACCCCGAACACCGGACGAACTTCTTTCTACTCCTCCAGGCTGTTAACGACCACTGCTTCGCGGCCTTCCTCAACATACCACGATGGATTTTTTGTGTTATCGGACATGCATAATAGATCCCGGAAAAAAAATTGTTCGTTACTCTTGATGATGAAATTTTTCCCCCTATGTTTCGGATTTTGTGGATGAAGGAGAGTTTTTTTGCGGTAAATGAAGTACATCTGAAGCAGATTCACAAAACTGAGAATTTTGAGAAATCACACTATCGTTTTCAACATATGATATATTATCAAATCATTGTTTGGAAATCGATTGTTATTCCAGGTACCGAAAATCTTCGACGCAGTGTTCGAATGCACCCTCGAAATGATCAACAAAGACTTCGAGGAGTACCCCGAATACCGGACGAACTTCTTTCTTCTCCTCCAGGCTGTTAACAACCACTGCTTCGCGGCATTCCTCAACATACCACGATGGATTTTTTGTGTTATCGTACATGCATAATAGATCCCAAAAAAAAAAGTTGTTCGTTACTCTTAATAATGGAATTTTTCCCCCTATGTTTCGGATTTTGTGGATGAAGAACGGTTTTTTATTGCGGTAAATGAGTACATCTGAAGCAGATTCACAAAACTTGAGAATTTTGAGATATCACACTATCGTTTTCAACCAACATACGATATATTACCAAATCATTGTTTGGAAATCGATTGTTATTCCAGGTACCGAAAATCTTCGACGCAGTGTTCGAATGCACCCTCGAAATGATCAACAAGGACTTCGAGGAGTACCCCGAACACCGGACGAACTTCTTTCTACTCCTCCAGGCTGTTAACAACCACTGCTTCGCGGCCTTCCTCAACATACCCCCCACGCAATTCAAACTCGTCCTCGACAGCATCATCTGGGCCTTCAAGCACACGATGCGGAACGTCGCAGACACCGGCCTGCAGATCCTGCTGAAGCTGCTGCAGAACGTGGAGCAGCACGAAGCCGCAGCGCCCAGCTTCTACCAGACCTACCTTACCGACATACTGCAGCACGTTTTCTCGGTGGTGACTGACACGTCCCACACGTCGGGGTTGTCGATGCACGCCACCATTTTGGCTTACATCTTCTCGCTGGTGGAAGCGGGTAGGGTTAATTGTCAGATCGGTCCTGGTGCTGATAACGTACAGTATATTCAAGAGTTCACGGCGACGCTGTTGAAGTCGGCGTTTCCGCATTTGACTGATAATCAGATCAAGATTATGGTGCAGGGGATGTTTAACTTGGATCAGGATATACCGGCTTTCAAGGAGCACTTGAGGGATTTCCTCGTTCAAATTCGGGTAAGTGAAAAAGTGTGACGATTTATACTGGGTGGGTCACGGTAGATGGCACCTTAGACGTTTACGGAGAACGAGACATAAGATCATTCTGAAAATTTGGTTACTCAAGTAATTGCTCTTGATCTATCGATCTAAAATATTTTCAGCTCTGCGGCGTTGCCGCTTCTATCGAAAAGTAGCAACAACTTTATTATTTTGAATGGAACACCCTGTATTTCATTGCATCTTCAGATTCTCTCTGAAGAGCTGATTTCATCGATATATCACACTTGGGGTCTAGCGGAAATGATTACAGAGATATAGGGTGTGAAAAATCGACATTTTTCAACGAATTTTTTTTGTCGAAACTATTCATTATTGGTCAAAACGACTTACATGTCCCTATCTCAACTTTTGATTAACTATCTACTGATATTTAATTGGGACATATACCGGGTGATCAAGAATCTGAATTCTGCACCACCCTGTATTTGTTTCAATTAAATGTCAGTAGATAGTTGATCAAAAGTTGGGATAGGGCGTGTGAGCCGTTTTGACCAATAATGAATAGTTTCGACAAAAAAAATTCCTAAAGTTGAAAAATGTCGATTTTTCACACCCTATATCTCTGTAATCATTTCCGCTAGACCCCAAGTGTGATACATCGATGAAATCAGCTCTTCAGAGAGAATCTGAAAATGTGATGAAATACAGGGTGTTCCATTTGAAATAACAAAGTTGTTGCTACTTTTCGATAGAAGCGGCAACGCCGCAGAGCTAAAAATATTTTAGATCGATAGATCAAGAGCAATTACTTGAGTAACCAAATTTTCAGAATGATCTTATGTCCCGTTCTCCGTAAACGTCTAAGGTGCCATCGACCGTGACCCACCCTGTATAGTTAATACGGAAACTTTGGTGACAGCTTATAAAATACTACCCTCTATTTTTGACAAGGAAGAAAGTAAAAAAACAGCCTCACTGGGGTTTTTTCTTACTTCTTGAATCAACAGATACACCTTCACTATCTGAAGAGATGTACAGGGAGCAGCAAAAAGTTCATGAATTTTAGGGAGGTATGGAAGATTTGAAAGTGGCTCCAAGTATGGTGGATATGGACCTCATGTTGTCGAACTAGGTAGTATTAGGGTCCCTTGATGGAAATTGACGTTGAAGTCATCTTAACAGGGTACGGACAGATCCTCGTCTCCTCTCACTCTAAAGTGTTTGTGAAACAGTTATATTGTTCCATCCTTATTCAATTCTGGGGATAAACACTAGATTTTTGACATTCGTTGTCTTTTAGGTTATATTGAGGTCACTGGCGTATCATTCGTAATTTCCATATGGAATTCCTGATTCAACTATACCAAGATATAGATGAACACTGCTCTAGTTTCAGAGTTTATTACTCCAGCATAATCTTTGCGATTTAGGAACATATAAATTGTACTGGAAGCTCAATATATTTCGTCAAAAGAGACTGTTCTTAGACCGTATACCAGGGTTGACTGAATTGACTGAATGAATTCTTATTTCAAGCTGAGCAGTAGTTTATCTATGAGCTGAATGAGCTGAGCCTTATGATTGAGAAATGGTGGAAACCTCGATGTGGGTATCTAGACTATTGTACTCATGTCATGTGTGCTAAATATATTTTCAGAAATCCAACTCAGAGAAGAATTCATGGAGTTACTAATATCACACTATGTATGAAACTTCGTCTAGGACGAGAAGTCGACTGATAAAAATTGATACGTAAAATGTGCAGGAAAATAAAGAATAGAATATACTTCACTTCCATGTTATACATATGATTTTTCCGTCTGTTTTAAATAAAAAGTCATTCTCGAATAATTTATTGAATATAATCGGATCATAATTACAAGTTTCGTTCGCCATATAGGATCCGCTCTCTTGCATGTCCCAATTTTGACAAATAATCATAAAGTTCGACCACGAAAACCCTCAGATACCAATCTCAAATAGAATAAGATCATAATTAGAAATTTCTTTTGCTATAATATTTTTTTTTTATTTATTTATTTATTGAAAATGTTACTTCCAGTCAGAATCAAGTTCTGGTATAAGGAAGTATAGTTAACAATAATACCTAAAATCCATCTTGAATTTTCCAAGTTTGACGAAACAATCATTATCTCCAACCCCGGAAAACCCCACATACCTTCCAATTCTTAATAGAATCGAATCATATATTTACAAAACTCGTTCGCCATATAATCTTCCTCAACAAGTAAATACCCTGTACATACCTGTTATTAAAATTTTGAATGATTTTCTGGAGCGCCCATGGTAGTGACGTGACAGCAATGTCAGAGATACCAGTAGACAAAACTAAAATCTCTAGATCATTAAAAAAGAATGCAGCTATGATCTGTCCGTACCCTATTGAGATGACTTTAACGTCAATTTCCATCAAGGGACCCTAGGTAGTATCTATTGAACACGAGTTACCATTTTATCGCCATGCAGCCGTGGTCGATTGAACATCGTGTGTTTGTTCACAATACCTTCATTGAAATGGGTTGTTGGGTGATTCAAACGCATAGACGATTCCGCAATAATTTTTGCGTTGGCCGTCAAGGTCGAATTCTGAAAATTTGAAACAATTATGAAGTGGATGAATTCTTTTAAAGTACAAAGAACAGGCTCTGATTGTCATTTTCTCGAAAAAGTCTGAATTTCACATCTTCTCCGATCTTTTGATTTAATATATCGGGAGTGCAATAAAAAAGTTGAATCGAACGATAATCATGGTAGACACTATTTTTATTTTTTACATGCGATATTTAAAAATTACGCAGAAGAATTTTGAAATCGATTTATCTCGAAAACGGTGAATGCTATCGAAACTGATCAAGGGTACCATTTTCAAATAGGGATGCTGAGATTTACATATTCCCTGGTCAAACGGACAAACATTGCATCAACAAAAAAAAACTTGAAAAATTGAAGAAAAAGCGATTCTTTTATATCCCACGCCTCTGATCTAAATTTCGGAATATCATTTACATTTTTTATTTGGGCGTTAAAAGTTGGGTAAATGAACAAGATTTGGTTTTATGTCACATATGTTTCGAAAATATTCACAAAAAGCAAAAAACCTCGGGCTCAATTTCAGATGGCTATTATAACACCCTAAGAGGTCATGTTTTTATAAACTTTTTTGAGAAAGTATGGATTCTTTATTTTTTTTAACAATAATTCAGAACCAATAGGGCATCTACTCTAGAGACTCATTCGTCTTCGTCCGGCCTTGTCAGATACTCTTCAAGAGCTGTGATTCGCCCTTCAAGGAAAATTTAAGCAATTCTCTCGGCAATTGTTCATGACTACTTGAGAAATTTGATGAACTCGATGTCCATTATATTTAGATATCCTACTTAATTTGTCATCATTGCATTTTTTGTATCCTTAGTAACATTGAATTTGTATCTTGGCAATATGGTTCAAGTTTCCATGGAGAAGAGAATTAATATCAAAACCATTGTCTGCTAAATATAGAGAAAAAATCTAGTGAGCTGGAACTACTGGTCTTCCCAATAGCTCAGTTGAGTGTAGGACCACTAGAGGATGTTACCGTATCGTACGATATGATCGTCACTTTTTTCTAGAAAAATTTCGAAATTTGTGGTTATGTAAGTTGTCACTGGTTGTCAGTGTCAAGAGCTGTCATGCCATCGTGACTTGTTTTGAATTTTTTTCTAAAATATCATTCTTTTTCAGTTCTCATTGTTCTAATATTCCTTTCGTTTATAGATATAGTTTTGTGTTGTGCTCCCAGTATTATAGTAGTTTATTCTGATTATCAATGTGAAACAAACTCTGTCTCCTCTTATTGTGACTACCAGAAATTGTGAAACCATCTCCATTCATGGATTTCCAAGTGATATTTCTTTGCGACATAAGTGGATAGTGTGGATACATTCGATATTGAGTGTTACAGGATCATCACAAGTAAGGAAATCAGAGCCCTGATCAAATGCTAATAATCGATACTTCCGATTCTACCTCTCATTTACTTTGGGTGTTACAAGTTACAAAATTGAGAACTATTGTAATGTCTGTAACAACCATTTTGAGAAGGAATGATTTAAGGTGAATTGTTGAGTGACTGAGTGACCGTGTCCCGTGAATGTCCGAATGCCGTGACTGAACTCAAACTCACTAAAACTAAACAAACTATGCCGCCGGCCGAGACTGCTGAGCCGAGAGCACTGCTGAGAGGGAGGGAGGCTCAACTCATTTACGATTTTTAAGGTTATGTAGGTTTGACAGGAAAACAATTGAATTGAGTGTTTCCTCGAGTTGACCGTATGGCGGTACTACTGTATCGGCCACAGAACGCTGTAGGTGATTTCCCTTGTTTGGGCAGACCAGATACTCCAGCTCACTAGATTTTTTCTCCATATTTAGCAGACAATGATCAAAACGTAATGTATGTCAGGTTGATTGAAATAAAGGAAGAAATTGTATACTCTCGCCTCGTAAATCGAAGTTATTCACGTCCCTTATAAGGGTGGTCCTTCAGTCAAGCACACGAATTGTACACTCGATGCCACGGCGGTTGAATGCTGTAATTCAAACTCGAGGAGGGCATAATCATTATTGACTACAGGGCTGCTGTTTGTTTGTTTATTGTAATTAAGGTTTTTTCCGGTAAGTGTTACAAAAAAGAGGTAGAAATAAGTGATATTAATTTCCTAAGTTGTTAATCAAATATATGTAGGTTCTGATTACTGTTAATGAGATTTGAAAAATGTCATACTTTCTTGAAACACTCGTATCTTCTCTTAAAAATATGATCATGACGTGAATTAAAAACTATTGTGTCAAAAAAAAGGATCCCACTTCAATTGAAATCAGCGAAGTTCAATCACTCAATTTCGCCTCAGGATGTTAAGAAGTAAGGGGTAAAAGAGTAACATTGGTTTTTCCCTTTATGATAATCAAGTCATGAGCTTTTTACGGAAACTAATATTCAGGCTAACATTCCGGAACATGAATCTGCAATTTGATCGAAATTTCACAAAAATCGGAGAAGTATTGAAAAAGTTACGTGGTGAATAATTTGGGCAAATTTTATGGTTGCCGTCTTGTTTGCCGGTGAGTGTACTATTGTTGTTCGATTTTCTGGATCAAAATGTGGTCAGGATATAATTTTTGACTTCCCTTCCAAACATTATAGCGAATAGGGCCAAATTTTATAATACTGGAAAGCCCTATTTCGTTAATTTCAGCTTTTTCTAGTCTACTTCACCTACCTAGTTTCGATCCAGATTGGTTAACAAAATGGGCGAGTCGACTAATATCGAATAATTGGCACTGATTCACTCTCCTAAATTCATCTGTGCAACACTTCTCACTTTTTTTTTATGTAAATAATGAATAGATTGTTGAATTTCAGAGCTCATTTCAAAAGTACCGTCATGACCGCCATTCGACGATACGTCGAATAAATGGTGACGTTACTTTTTATGCTGTTTCGTGAGGTTGTCAAGTCACCAATTATAATCAAGTTGTCAAAAAGATGTTAGAGTCCTGTCGTTGAATGAAACATAATAGGAGAAACCCGTGATATTATAGATGATTCTTGACTCTTTCGAGCAACCAGCATATCCAAATATTTCTTATACTCCATAACACAATATCATGTGAATGTTAGAGACTTGGCAACATAGTGTGAATGCTGAGAACTGACAAGACCACGCCCACTAGTCGTGCGCCGTGTTGTCACGTTTACCCGAGCGTTAACCGACTCTAATGTCCTCTAGTGTGAATAATAGTATATTATGTAACAAGTGTTATAAACGTCCTTTTAGTAACAAGTATTTTAAGCACGAGCGGAGCAGAGCGGAGCGAGTGTTTAATAAACGAGTGTCTAGAAGAGTTTATAAACGCGTTACATACTATGAATTTTCTACGAACTCCTAAAATTACATTAACATACCTGCTATTCCTGCTAACGTACAAAATAATTCGAAAGGAATAGAAATGGAGAACATAATACATGCAACTGATGCATGCAACCAGCGAGACACGTATAACTGATATTGGTTGTAGATGTGTCCAGTCCATTGCTTACTTACCTTTGTTTCACGTTTATTGCCATGCTTAGCACAGAATAAAAAATCGTTCTCAAAGATGGATGCTTCATTTTTACACTTCTTGGAGATACGCAAGTACCAAAACATTCTCTTGTCCAGTCCATTGCTTACTTACCTTTGTTTCACGTTTATTGCCATGCTTAGCACAGAATAAATAAATCGTTCTCAAAGATGGATGCTTCATTTTTACACTTCTTGGAGATACGCAAGTATCAAAACATTCTCTTCGATTTCACTTTCTTATTATACATTTCGCATATATTATGAATGGAAAATTCTGATACAAACGAAAATTGTTTGAATAATTCTAATACAAAATTCGAAAATGACATTTGACAGTTAATACTATTGACAGGCCAGACATGTTCCAAATTACTGAAGCTGTGTTTAATGAACTGTTGCCATGGTAATGTGTTTAAGAAATCGTGTTGCCATGGTAACGTGTTTAATATTTTGAATAAATCACAGATCGTCAATCCGTGATTAATCGATCATTTAGCGTGGTACGTATCCGTACGCTAAATGCCCTTTTAGTTATGTGAGTAGAAAAATAAAATTATTATTCGCACAATAAGCCCCAACACATGAGGTAACATTTTGAGGCAATTGATTTTTTAATGCTAATTGGGGAAACAACCAATACATAATTGAGAATTTATGCATTATTGAATAACTTATATTTTTGAACTTCCCAATCGTATTTCACCATATGGTAACTGTGCTATGGTCTGCTCCTACTTACGAAATCTAGACGTCACTCTTTACTTTTATTACATTATTGAATAGTTCCCAATCGTATTTCAACATTCAAGGTATTCGAGTGATGATTCTACACACACTGGCACAATTAGGGGCACGGGCAAAATTTACACTAAGTTTGACATCAATTTTCTTTCGAACCGATCGCTCGATTCAATTTTTTTTCTTCACGAAATGTAGCTTCATTCTTCACCAATACATCTGAGGAATAATTACCTTCAAAAGATGAGTATTTTTATCATATACAGGGGTGTAAAGAAAGTACGTATTTTTCGGTATTTTTTTAGACATCCTGTGGACTGAACCACTGATAATTGAAACGGTTTCTCAACACCAAATTGGAGCCCAATCTATTCCGAATATTTTCGTTTTTTATTCATCTTTATATCTCGATTATTCAAGAAAATACAGAGTTTCAAAGGAAAGGTGGATATTGGTATCAATTTTACACCTCAAAACTCAAATTGGATCTGAAAATGTGTCGTTTCTTGACTAACCTAACCTAACCATGACTAAACCTTTACCATAGGAGACAGAAGCAGTTAAATCAAATTGTTCATTTTGTTCACCTCGGCGATATAGTCTTTCCCTGCCATCTATTGAATTGGTGCAGATGCGGCTCTCATATGTTAAAAGAACATTGGCCCACTGGTCATTTTCAATTAATGCTACAGCCCTCGCCACATCAGTAGGAGTCAAATCTCTCACGTTGAATTTTCATTAAACAAATTTATGAATTGTGAATCGCTTGACTTTGACAATAATTAATGACATTAACAAAAGAGCCAACGTTGATTAAGAAAAATAGCATTTCACCAAAAGAACATTGGAGCAACTTTTATCACCCCTGCATATTCATGAGAGTATTCGTATATGTGTCTTTAAACAGTAAACACACAGAAACAAGTTGAAAAACGACACGTTCTTCCCAGTTCGAGTTTCGAGGTGGTAAAATTAATACCAATATCCACCTCTTCTTTGAAACTCTATATTTTCTTGGATAATTGGGATATCAAGATGAATAAAAAACGAAAATATTCGGGATAGATTGAGCTGTAATTTGGTGTTGGAAAATCGGTTTGATTATTAGTGGTTCACTCCACAGGATGTCTTAAAGAATACCGAAAAATCCGTACTTTCTTTACACCCCTGTATATGATATAAAGACGAATCGTTTGGAGGTGGTTATTTCTCAGATGTATTCGTAAAGAATGATGCTACAATTCGTGAAAAACAAATTTGAATCGAGTGATCGGTTCGAGAGAAAGTTGATGTCAAACTTAGTGTAAATTTCACCCGTTCCCCTAATAATTGTGCCAGTGTGTGTATTTAAGAAATAAAAAGTCAATAGTCCACTCGCCTATTGAGACGTGTAATTTTCAGGAATATACCGGGGAAGACGACACAGATCTGTTCTTGGAGGAGCGGGAAAAGTCCTTGCAGGCAGCGCAATCGGAAAAGCGTCGAATCCAACTCTCAGTGCCCGGCATCCTCAATCCTCACGAGGTTCCCGAGGAGATGCAAGATTAGCGAACCCCATAGAACTGTAATTATATAATCTTGGAACTTTTAGAAGGATATTTTTCTATTTTCATCATCATCATCCTAATTCAGACTAAGAGTAAAACTGCAAACCAGTGTAAACGTGTTTTGTGCAACAGGGCATTTCGACATTAAAGTTTTTCCGCATCGAATGTGTTACGCTTCCAGGTTTTTCTTTTCGATTCGTGTAGACTACATGTTAATTGAAGGAGAATACGTTGTCCACACACTTGAAAATGAGCATTTATTAATTATTTTTTCTAGGTTATGAAATTCGTGTGTTTCTATAATTGAAAAAATGAGGAAAATCATAGTGCTAGTGTGAAACTGAAACTGTATAAATAATGTAGAATATTGCTAGTTGATTAACATGTTTTCTGTACAGATTTGTTAAGCACAAAACACATTTTTTAACAATTTATTACGGACTCATTAAATTAGAAAACTTATTATTGTGGATGCATTTTTGTTTGAGTGTACGATTGACTGTTATTATTGGTATGTATTCTTTTTAGGTCGAATCATTAGATGCAGTTATGTTTATCATCGTTGAAAGCGATTGTTTTCTAATAAAAATAAACCTTATTGAAACATCGACCATTTATTGCTGAATTTAAAACAGCTCCAACAATATTGGCTTGGTATGTAGGTTTGTAAGTTACTCGGAATCTACGAACATAATTTTGATCCACTTCAAAACGTCGAATTGGATTGAAACTTCGCACACTTTTTTTAATCTGGTTCTCACGAGGACAATAACGTAATTTAATATTTCCCTTTCATTATCCTGATCAGAATCTTCAGGAAGGGCGATTTGTTTTGTGGAATAAAGTGGTAATGATGTTCCTCCTCCAAAATTTCAAATGTACTTTCACCAAATATTCAAATGTTCGTATTCCATCCGAATATCTTTATAATGATTTTTTATATCCAGAAACAGGGCAGTGTCTTGCACCGAGTACTCGTATGAATAGTTAGATCAAGAGAGTTGGATGATTATGATCCACTTCAAAACCTCGAATTAATTTGACGAAACTTCGCACATTCATCAAGGCCAAGAACAATAGCATAATTTAATGGTTTTGTTCTATATTACTGTTCAAAATGTTCAGGATGATCGATTTAATTTTCTCAAATAAAATTGTAATGATGTTCCGCCACCAAAATTTCGAATGTTCTTTCACCAAATATTCATATGTTCGTATTTTATTTGGATATATTTACAATGCTTTTTTATATCCAGAAACAGGGCAGTGTGTTGCACCAAGTACTCGTATAAATAGTTTTATCCAGTAAGTTGGATGATGTTGATCCACTCCAAAACGCCGAATTAAATTGAAACTTTGCACGCACCTATCAAGGACCGAGGACAATAGCATAATTCAATAGTTTTTTTTTTCATTATCCTGATCAGAATCTTCAGGATGAACAATTCTTTTAAAATTAAATCACAGAATTTGATTGACAGATATTTGATTACTTCAAAAGAATGATAAAGATTTCTGCAACGCAGATGTAATTCCTGTTGAATACTTCAAATTTCACGTTGATGATTTTCTGATTTTGATATAATGTAATACATTTCTTCTCCATGTTGATTCGTCCTTTTTCCTGACGGTTTTTTGTCTCTCTTCTCTATGCTTCGAGAGACAAACACAACCTCTAAATAACTATTCGTAGCTAGCCGAACTAGAAAATATACAATGTGTCCAATTTTCATCCTCACCATTGAGATCTCGGTAACTATGAAAGATAGACAGTGGGTTAAATTACGAAGCAAATTCAATCTTGATCCAGAATCCGTTGAAAATCTAGACTATTATCCGAATCTCTATAATAATAACGGCATATTCTTGGAGAATCTAAAAATTCAATGAAATATAAGGTATCCATTATCAAAAAACTCATTATCGGTCTATGTCTTGGACTTTGAACACCCTATATATATATAAATATGTTTTTGTGTTCGTCCTCATATATATGAAACTCTGTGACTGTCGTATTTGAATATTTTTTATATATCTGACGGTTTGGATAATATCGAAGGAGAACACAGTATTGACTCACCCTCTAGAATAGATTCCCAAATTCATTTTTTTTTTGTACACTCGAAAGATTGACATATTCACATTCCTTCGCAAACTGGTAATGAAGGGGATTCTGACTTTATTTTACATTCTGTAGAAAATATTAGAAGAGCTTAATAAGTTTACTTCACGAATGATAAAAAGTTGACTTTGTTGGGATGTCTTCATGGCCCCCACTAATATACGTATCAATATGACGTCACGGAACATGACATATCATGTTTAGGTCTCTCGGAAGTCGAGGACTTCATGGTCCAAATAATGTGTACAGAAAATTGGTAGTGCTGTAACTTTTGATTCATTCGAGATCAGATTTTGAAAATGGGTGGATAGCATGTATGTCAAATGTCAAATCGCTCACAAAATTGACATAACGGTTTTTGTTCACTTCACGTTTCACCGGAAACGACCCCAACTTATTATCTGATTTTTAAATGGGACATCAGACATCGACACAACGTGTGCATTTTATTCCATAATCGGTTAGGGGTTTTATTATGACAAATTCATCAACGATACCGGGTTTGATAAGGAAGATATTTGGGTCCGAAATTTCTGAAGCTCAATGGGTGTGACTTCGCAATATCGAAACTTCTTTCTCTGTCACATTCATTCAGCATATGAAAACTATATGAACGCGACTATCTTCGTTTAATCGTTTAAAATAACCCAATCAAAACCGATTTCCTTGAATTCGTTATGATAATCCCTAACCGAAAGTGTCCAGAGCCGGATTTAGAGGTCTGGGGCAAGAAAAGATAGTGGAGGCCCCCTGATGGCTCCTAATTGTTTACAAATTTCTCGGTCAATCATTTTTTTCTACTAAATTATTTAAAGATATACAGGGTGTTTCTTGAGTAACGTTTAAATGAGAAAAAAATAAACATATGTCCGCGCAAGTACCCAGCAAACACATCTGTTATATTCACATCACTGTTATATAAAATCAACGGAACTTTTTTATATAGAATATTTACGTAAATATTCCATAATACTTCTGAAATATGTGAACCTCCTATTTATATAAAATATTTACGTAAATATTCCGTAACAATTCTGAAATATGTGAACCCCATAATTATATGAAAATGTAACGTAACTATGATGTAAATGATATGTGACAATTTGATATCAATATAAAAGCTTATATGATAGCTACATGACTTTACTAGGACTCTTGGCCGTAAATTCTCTGCAGACTTGATTCTGCGTCAATTAAGGATATTCGTTGGGATGATCAGTACTAAGATGCCTAGAGACATCTCGCGCTGTAATGTTCCCCCACCGCGATGATTATTATTTTTCGCTCTCGCACTGTAGCGTTTCTCCGTGACCACTCTGAGGTTATAAGTAATGAGTGAAGACTTGGAGACTGAAAGCATTTTCAGTATTTTCTTACTATTCCGAGTGATTTTCTTGTTTCCACCAATTTTCTGCGCTGTAGTGGCCCCCCATCCTACATGCCCAATTCCCATTGGTCGACTACTTTGAGGTTATGAGTTATAATTATAAGTGAAGACGAGACCCGAGACCATAAACAAACTACACTGAAGGCATTTTCGGTATTTTATAACTATTTCGAGTGTTTTTCTTGTTTCTACCTGCTGTGTTTGATGAATTAAACTAAACTAAAAGTGTCAATAAGAATAAGTGGAGGTGAGTGAGAATAAAACATGCCTTGAGATTTTCCTAACCTCTGTGAAAACAACAACAACAAAAAATAGTTACATATCTATCCTGGACCTCTTAAATATGCCTAGAATAAATGATGAATCTGGTAGGTATTGATAGAATCCGAGGTATAATCTGGTCAAACTCCAATTTTCATATGAAATTGAACAAAAGCCAGTGATTGATTATGATGGCTGATGAAAACCCCAGTGAAAACCCCAAAGTGCCTCACATTCTGGATTAAAGTTATTATTATTGGTTATGGAAATTTATTCATTTTATCAGTGATTATTATTTTTTGTTCCATAAATAAGTTCATGAAGAACCCCAATGAGATGAATCCTGAAATGTATACTTTTCCAGGTAGGTACATCTTTTCAAAACTCAAGGTGGTAGAGATGGGAGAGACTATCTATATAGGAGCCACACAATGTTCCTGGTAAGGGCAGAGGGGAAACATTGAAGTCAGAGATTTGAAATCAATCGAAATATCATTTTCTGGTAATATATATTTTAGATTTTAATTTGAAAAATGAAAAACAAAGCAATATTTTTTCAGACTCCATCATTATCACACACCCTTTGATATCTTACTCTGATAGATAAACCAGCAGGAAGGTGGTTCTGATTTAGTCACCAGAGGTTAAATGGAGGGTTGAATTGGGAGATCAAGAAGAAAGATATAATTTGATTACTCACAATTTTGATTTTTTGAACTTTTGAAGTATACATAAATGGTCTCACTATTTTCAAAGAAAAATAAAGGTCATGTTTTTCATTTGATAGTTGATGTTGTTTTATCACCTTCTATTCAGGACATTTCATTTTATTCAATTTGAACATTATTCAGTCCATAATTTTTTGACAATTTTTTTGTTTTAAAGTTAGCAACTGATCAATTATACTGTGTACTATAATGCATAATATTTGGAACAGAAAGTCTTAAAATTTTTTTTGTACATGAGGAGAATTGAAGTGAATACTGAATGATATAGGAGATAATAAACCATCAAGCATTTTATGACTAATCTGTCTCTGTTACATTTTCACACACAATCAAAAATTGCCAAATAACTTCTTTTTCACACTAGCCCACTCGCTAGCCCACTTCCAACTCTCATGTACATTTCTATAACCATATATATCATCATCAGTAATATCAGTATAGATATTATGGAGTGTAGAGTTTGGATCACCTACTGAGATGATTGTACTTAGTTATCAATATGTGCATATGCCTGTGAAGTGAGTTAGTGAAGTGAAGAGGTTATTCGTGAAATTCCGATATTCATTTCCGATATTAGTCAAGTAGTTTCATCAATATTATATTAAAATGGAGTCATATTTGTAGCTGACATTTTTACATAATAGGGATGTAAATTTTACATAACATCTAGAGAATGTTATGTAATATTTATGTCAGTTTGTTATATACGTAACATCTTATTTATAGCAATGAAATTATATAAAATATATATAAAATAGTGACATAATTGTTACGTAATAATCATGTAGTATTTGTGGCGGACATTTCGCCATAACAGTGATGTAAGTCTTACATAACATAGTTACATAACACATATTGTCAGTTATGTAACACTTATGTCAATTTTACATAATTGTGTTTGCTGGGTAGTTCATTCTGAGATACGACAGAGTGTAAAATTTTGACTATTTTGGTTTTTTCTAAATGAATTCCAAAATAATCGTGACATTCGGGTGAGATACCAAATTTCACTCTAATATCACGATCATTTCTGAATTTACTCACAAAAAACAGGAAAAAGAATGAAACTTTGACACTTGTATCACATAAATGAATAACTTTGCAGACATATGTTTATACGAACTTTTCTTATCAGTAGAAATATTGTCAAAGGCGAGAATTATCTGGAAGATGGTTTTGTCCCATATCGAAGTTCCAAGCCAATTTTTTATCATTTTCATTTTTGAAACTGACCGTTCTCCAATGCAATTCGAAGTCATTGAAACCAAATACATTCGCAGTGCAATTTCAATGTTCGGGAATGTAATTTTTGAACTTTTATGTTCAAGAATGCCGAAATAAAATACCTCGGTAGATTGTTTTTTTCCATAGTAGGTACTCTTTGATGAAATCGCGGAAACGATACACCCACCCTCTGAGCTATACGGACAAATATTCCCCCACTCAGCTATTGGAAGACTCTATCAAGATGGGTAGTAAATATGGCACCAACTGCTTATCACGGCCATTTTGACAAATTGATATTTTCATTGGAGTGAAAAATATAATTAATGAACAAGACTAGGTATCTATTCACTCCACTTTGAGATACCATGGACTTTTACCATAGATTAAATATAATTAAATTATTTTTCAATATTTGGAATAATACAATCATGTTTCTACAAAGTACTAAGGGTAAAACAAGGAACTTATAACTTCTCCATGAAAAATATTGAAGGAAAAGTTGTTCACTATATAGTGTTTACCCGTCGAAAGTCGAAAGATTTTTTTCTTTATTGTGGGGGTCCCTTTTTTGTGGAGGCCCCGGTGCTGTATGCCCTTTCCTAAATCCGGCACTCGAGTGTCCTCTGTTTGAAAATCAAAAGTTGAGATCGTTTCCGGTGAAACGTGAAGTGAAAAAGAATCGTTAGGTCAATTAGTGAGCGATTTGGCAGACTTTATTGCTACCCACCAATTTTAAAAATCCGATCTCGAATTATTCAGAAGTTACAGCACTATACAGGCTTGATTCACGGTGGATGGCACATTAGACGTTTCTGGTGAACCAGACAACGGATGATTTTGAAAATTCAATGGAGGGCATATTCGGACATTCTCTAGCCAACTAAAATATTTTCGACAATGTGGTGTTGCCGCTTCTATTAGAAAGCAGTAGCAACTTTGATTTTTCAAATGGAACATTCTGTATTTTATTGCATTTTTAGATTCTCCCTGAAGAGCTGATTTCATCGATGTATCACACTTGGGGTCTAGCGGAAATGATTACAGAGATATAGGGTGTGAAAAATCGACATTTGTCAACTTTAGGATTTTTTTGTGTCGAAACTATTCATCATTGGTCGAAACGGCTTACATGTCCCTATCTCAACTTTTGATTAACTATCTACTGATATTTAATTGGGACATATACTGGGTGATCAATAAGATTCTGAATTCTGCACCACCCTTTATTTGTTTCAATTAAATGTTAGTAGATAGTTAATCAAAAGTTGAGATAGGGACATGTGAGCCGTTTCGACCAATAATGAATAGTTTCGACAAAAAAAATTCCTAAAGTTGAAGAATGTCGATTTTTCACACCCTATATCTCTGTAATCATCTCCGCTAGACCCCAAGTGAGATACATCGATGAAATTTGCTCTTCAGGGAGAATCTAAAAATGCAATAAAATACAGAGTGTTCCATTTGAAAAATCAAACTTGCTACTGCTTTCTAATAGAATCGGCAACACCGCATTGTCGAAAATATTTTAGTTGGCTAGAGAATGTCCGAATATGCCCTCCATTGAATTTTCAAAATGATCCGTTGTCTGATGGTTCACCAGAAACGTCTAATGTGCCATCCACCGTGAATCAGCCTGTATATAGACGTTTTTTGTGCTCTCATCTGTATATCTGTGTTTTGTACATCATGAGAAGCTGTTTTGAGTTTATGTGAAGCGAGATTCTATGTGGGCAGGTAAAATATCTAAAAAATATTCCCTGGATGTGATGAAATTTTTTCTTCAAAAAAACAAAAACAGTACAAAAATATTCCTTCAATAAAATTCAGACCATATAAACCATATGAAAAAATTGGCACATCGTGTTCAGAATCTAATTTGGAATCCTTTGTAATCTGGCGAGGCAAGGTTTTGCCAATTGGTTAGATCACAATGATCTATTTGGCTTCCTGGTGAACCAGTGTTGGATAACCACATGACCCTGAAATAAAAAAAAACAATATAAGTAAATGTTGTCTCACCAACTTGCTTATCTCTGCACTAATGAGTATAGATGTTTTTGGCTCGGTGCCCGACATTGTTTTAGTCATTTATGAATCTTCGAGGAAGTTATTTCAACGACTCCAAATGCAACAGCCCGAGAATGTTTCAATTGATGGGGTAAACAAATATACAAGAAGCTCCTGAAAGTTCATATCAGGTGGATTTATGCAGCGCAATTTTACACTAAACTCCAATTAACATTTACGCTTCAACTCAAACTAAAAAGTTGAACCTCTTGTTACACATGGTTCATAACTTTATGCAGAGAAATTAAAACTATAAACTTGAACTATAAAGTTGTTCAACTCTCGATAACGTTCTAGTTGGTAATATGTTAATGTTAATATTTGAGACGTCGAATTATAATTTTCACGTCATTGGTAGTGTTTGTTGATTTTGCTGCATATAAAATACCATCAAAATATTTAATTTTTATATACTTTGTCAAGTTCAGTTCAAGTTGGAGTTTGGTTATAATTGTGCTGCATCATGGGGGCGATCAGTTGAGGGTAGCGAGCGGCCATATAAGATATTGGTCATATAGATTTGAGAAAAAAAAATCATGATGAAAGTCGCCAAGAGAAATTGCTGGAAATTATTTTCGAGTTTGTCAAACGTCGGCTAGAGGGCGTAATAACCAACACCAAGTGAAAAAATATGGGATTTTAATAGAATTTCGTCTAATGAAAGTATATCGATGATATCATTTTCATATTAACTGACCATTTTCATACATTTTTTGTCTGAAACGTTTTGTTCTATCTATAAAAATAAAGCGGTGGGAAAGTTCAATTTTTTTTCTAAACAAACCAAGATTCCTCCCGGTCATTTCGAATGATTTTAGCAAACTCAGGGTCATATAAAAGAGCATAATTTGACCAACAAACGCTTATTTATAAAACGGAATCTACTATAATCTGGACGATAAGTTGAGAAGAATTTGGGTTGAATGCCAGGCAATAACTAGAGAAACATCTCAAATGTGCGAAAGGAATTTACAAAGAGATTTTACCACTGTCCGGAAGTCAATATGAAGGTAATTTTGAACATTTGTTGTGGATAACCATTCAATAGTTCATTCCGTGCATTCAAATAATACTCGCAATTGAAAAACATACCATTAATTTGAACTCGAATATATCTCGAGAAGGACCTGTTGGAATTCAAAAAAACTTTCCACTGCTAGTTTCAGTATTGAATTACCTTCGCAACGATGTATAAACCCGACCCTTTATTCCCTATTCAAATTATTGAGGAGGTTGCTCTGGGTAGTAGAGGGTTGGAGTATGGATTATACATTTTGCGTCTGAAGCAGGTGTCCCCATCCATATGAAAATCTACCTGTTTCGTCATTTCTTTGTGAAATAAAAATTCTGGGAGATATCGATGAGGGTGGATAGTACTGAAATGGACCACCCGGTATAAATACTTTCCTAATTCCAGGACTGGCCTGAAGTCTCGATTTTGCTTGTTTACTACCCTAATAACACACTTATGTCCCATGGATATCCTTAGGACGTCCTGTCGGGACGTTCAAATTTGGTACCGTGGACGTCCATTGGACGTCTGTGGGACGCACAAAGGTCCCACTTGAGGACCAACTAGGGACGTCCTTGAGGGATGTCCGTTGGACGACTATCGAATACCTAAATCCTTTGGACATGCAACCTATCAGCAACGCTGAGGGATATCAATTGGATGTCCATAGGATGTCCCAGGGACGTACGAATTATTCTTGAATTTGAATTTTTCTGGGTCCCTCTAGCACCAGATCTTGCATAACTGATTAGGACATCCAGTTCAGTTGATGGTCCGTAGAAGGTCTCCAAAAAAGTTCCCAAGGATGTCCAATGGACATACGTGAAGGACATTGACGAGGCGAGTACTTATAGCCTACGAGCAATCATTCGTCGGCGAGGTGTAAGTTAACGTCCTCGCAGGGACAACATATTGAAAGTACCGACTGGGACGTCCATAGGACGTTATTTATAGGACATTGAAAGAGTACAGTTCATGTACCAATTGGGACATCCGATGGATGTCCCAGCTGGGACATCCCATCCCGTGTGGACGTCCTTGCTCGGACATTGCATGAGATGTACGGGATGGGACGTCCCAAGGATACTTATTTTTGGATCGGGAAATTCGGACGTGAATTGTACCAAATAGGGACGTCCTAAGGACGTTGTGTGCTGTTAGGGTAAGCCATCAAGAAACAGCAGTATTATATTCTATTCTATAATTCTTACTTACATCTGTTCAACTTTGGATCTCTGTCCCTGCAGCTTTCCCTGTATGGTGCCCTTTTTGGTGTTTTTCACCCAACCGTTAACAGCCATGTCCTCACTCATCTCCTTGCAGTATTTCGTGAAAGATACGCCTAAATATCACAATAATTGAATTTATATAACAATAATTGAACCTACCTTATTTAAAATAGTAAAATGAAACATTTCTATTGCTGCAAGGAATATGATCCTTCAGAATTAGAAGCGAAGACATGTTAGATTATGCTAGCGATACATAAGAACATCTTTCAATTAGAGCTGAAATGTCTTCAATTTTATATACATTCAATATGATTAGAATAGAAAATAACATACCTAAATAAAATTGTGTAAGAAAGATATTGAGTGAAATATTCACTGATAAAAAGTAACCTCATCACATTGAGGCCAGGAGGGGTATACTAATTACTATTCTGCTGAGTACTGAGTATATGCTACTGATTCAGTGATTCTTGAAATGAATACAAAAACAAAAAATTAGACAACGACACGCGGTGTTCCCAAGCGGTCACCCATCCAAGTACTGACCGCGCCCGACGTTGCTTGACTTCCAGGATCAGACGGAGCTGGGTACTTAAATCAACGTGGTATGGTCGTTGCCTGAATAACTGACATTATCAAAAATACTCGAAGGACCATGTAACACCTACGTAAAGTGGGTTGCTAGACCTAACTGCGTTTCCAAAGATAAAGCCGATGGATGTCCCTAAAGGAACGTTCAAAATCATATCCCATCAGGGACATGCCAAGGACGTCTTTGCATGGACATTCTACAATATGTACCACGTGGGACGGGTAAGGGATGCTATTTCTAGGACATTTGAAATGATGTACCAGCTGGGACATTTCGTGGACGTCCTTGCTCGGACATTTCATGAGATGTACGGGATGGGACGTCCCAAGGACACTTATTTTTGGTTCGGGACATTCGGACGTGAATTGTAGGGACGTCCCTATCCCTAATAACACAATAACATCTGTGAGACGTCGTAGAAACATCCATATGGGATGATAGGAACATCTCTGGAAAATCCCTATTTTCCTTGGGACATTCTTGGGATGTTGCTGGCAACAACCTTGACAGCATTTGCGATGTCTTATAAACATCCCATCAGAATGTTTGAGGGATGATACGGGATGTACCAGAGACATTCAGAGTACTTGATATGGAACATCTTGAAAGAAACTTCTATGATGTTGTTTGTTTGATGACAGTAATAGATGACACGGTATGAATTATTTTCAATCTGAAATCCTGTATGAAAATGGACGACCTATTTCCAGATATAAAGTAACAATCCGAATCGGAAAATATAAGGTCGGTGCGGTCCAATAACTAATGGACGATGATAACAGTTGTTTCCCTAATAACACACCTTCATCCATTGGACATCCGATGGATATCCTCACCCGGACACCCTGGACATCCATAGGATAACCACTTTGTGTACACAGGACATCCTATGGATGTCCATAGGAAATCAGCTTTCCACATTTTAGGACATACATACGTTATCCATGATGGACATCCATTTGGTGTCCATTATGGACATCCATTTGGTGTCCATTATGGACATCCATATGGTGTCCATATATTGGTCATATATACCAACCTATACGTATTCAAAAGACAGGTTATGTTATTTTCTTTTATTTCGAACATTGTTCATGGGTGAAACGTAAAGTATATAATATGATAATAAAATAGATAGTACCTACTTAGGATGATAAATTGGAAAAGAAGTGGTCCAATGCACTGGCAGCACAAAAGCTGAAATGCATATTTTGCATTGTTTCTGCATTGTTTTTGAAAATATTCAATGCATTCTGAATCTGTCTCCATAATTCCTGTTCATTATTTACTGGCCTGAAGTACACCTTAAAATTTATAGGTACTGCTCCCCATAAACTATGGTATATTTCCTCTGCCGTTTCATCTACTTATTATCTGAAAACTGTTGAATGAAACAGCAATGGACATTCAGAGTGTAATGTGGTGGAGCCTCATCATGCAAGAGCCACATGTAGTGAAAAAGGTGTTCCATAAATTTTTATCGTCAGTTTAGGTCGATGAGCAAGATAATTGGCCCCAAGATGAAAATTCCTCAAACTGCGAAATTGTCAGTGATTCTTGCCCACACATTATCTGTTGTCGTATCATTCAAGAGTTTTTCAACATCCGATGAATTTTTTTCTACTTTATAGTAGATACGTCGGAAGAACCTGTTTCAAATCCTTTTCTTTCTGTTCATTCTGGTGAAGGGTGTTTTACCTACCTATCCAAGAAATATGTTATGTTATCGTAACAATTCGCAATTAGGAACACCTGAATAGACACAGAAATAATAAGAACTTACTTGTATGACGGCCGTTTAAAGCAGGAAACTGGGGCATAATTCAACTATAAAATACTAATAATTATCATGAAAGTCCACCAAAATGGATGAATGAAATAAACATAACCTATATTATGTTTCGGATTCTGACAGATGAATTCAGATCTTCTTCTTCTCATTTCACTATTCTCAAAATATCTCGCTACAATGGACATCCCGACAATACACTTATGGATGTCCAATATGTACTGCCAAGTATCCGGTATGGACATCCAAGTGGCTATTCGATGTGCGTCCATGGACATAGATAGGCTTCCAGATGGAGTACATACTAGATCATCAGCTGGACATACAACAATGAACATCAAACGATAGTTCCATTTGGCGTCCATGGATGTCTTGGACGGCAAATGGATATAAAGTGGATGTCGTCTGGATAACGTGTGTTATTAGGGTTGAGGCTCATATTTGTTGGCGCTGAGCCGACGGCTGTTAGTAACTCTAAGCAACGTAGTTGTACCGCCATCTATCGGCTGGTATAACAAATAATTTCAGCAATAAATATCCTGGAGAGATATATTTCAATTCAGTCGTTTATTACATGGTTCATGATTTGGTAATCCTATTGAGGAATATTTAGTATAATTATTTCAATTTGTTATCGATGAAATTAGCCTGCTTTGCTATAGGAATCTGACGATTCCTATACATGTAAAAATGTCTAATGGAAAATAAACGTATTGTATTGTATTGTATTGTATTGTATTGTAGGTGTAAGTATATGAGTACGAATACAGTTTTGATTCCCATTTTTTTCCAACTCTTCAATGTTTCAAATGACACAGTTGTTTGAACTATTCAATCATGTCAATCATCATTAGCGAATATGGAACCATGATATTGTTTATAAAAAAAGATCAAATGGGATGTTTCTAGAACATCCAATGAAAACATCTGATGGATGTCCCAAGAGTTCTCTGGGATATCGTACCTAAGTCTGAAACATTGGGACATTTGTAGGACCTTAGCGGGATGTTCCAGCAAGATCCCGTGTTGTTAGGGATAGGCCGTTGTGTGCTATTAGGGTATATTTTGACTGATACTTCAGAGAATCAAAATCACATACAAAAAATAGATTATTGCAGAAATATCACCCTGTATTATTTCAATGGCCTCTGTGAATTTGTTAATGGCGAGTATGTGATTTTTTGTAGAGGTCGACGAAATATTATTTTATCGATTTTCAAATAATATTTGATCCGATAGTAAATTCAATCTCAATAAGTTATTTTTTTGACCTATGAACAGGAGTGTGCCTACGGGGCTACGGGACAAGTCCATCAAATTTTTCGCACAAAAATAGCACCCCGATAGATTTTTTTGAAATTCACTTAATTATTTTTATGACGTCGAAATTCTACTTTTCTGGATCCTATTATTTTTTGTATTTAGCTTTGATTTGGAGAAGAAAATAGAAACGAATAAACCTATTCCACATGTCTCTGCTCTGATGAGCACGTTGAGAGAATAATTTTTTAATTTGTGGTAAAATGCTTAATGGAAGGTCTTGAAATATGCCACGAAGGTTCTCATATTGGTTGGTTGAAGCCTTTCTTCGAAAACAATATAAACTCGATTTTTCAAGAAATTTGGAATATTTCGTTTTTGGATCGAACTTTTTTTCACCCAGAGAATCTGGCCTCAAAGTTTCATGCAACAATAATAAAACGCCCTGTATATTCTTGTGGATCCTTCGTACGTTTTTCAATTTGACAATTACAGGACGACTGAATTATGCTTTCATGAATGCTCATACAAGGTTATCATAAAAGATATCTACTCATTTTACAAGTGAAAGATATATATTTTTAGATCGCGTTTGTTGGCTGATGATGGACACACGTCGTCCGAAACAATGAGTGATCATGAATGTACAGTGATGATTTTGATTGCATTCCTTCATGTTTTTTCAATAATTTATTCACTCTACTTCGTGAAAAAATGCTGCCACGAGGTTCATGAGTATATTATTTTTCATTATCTAATAATACTTTTTTGACTCCTATTTTTTTCGTGTTTAGCTTCGTTTTAGAAAAAAAAAATAAAAACGAAACCTATTATACATGTCTGATGAGCACGTTGAGAGAATAATGTATTAATATGTGGTAAAATTATGAATGAAAGGTCATCGAAGCCTTTCTTCGAGAACAATATAAACTATCGATTTATCAAGAGATTTGAAATATTTCGAATCGAACTTTTCGTCACCCAGAGAATCTGGCCTCGAAGTTTCATGCAACAGGAAACTCCCTGTATATGCGTGTGAATCCTTCGTACGTTTTCAATTTGCCAATCACAGAACGACTGAATTATGCATCTATGAATACTGATACAGGGTTATCATAAAAAATATTTAGTTATTTTACAACTGAAAGATATATTTTCAGTTCGCCTTTGTTGGCTGATGATGGACATACGTCGAACGAAACAAGTGATCATGAATGGACACTGATGATATGAAATCAATTAGGATTCTTTGTGTTTTTAATTCATTTATTAACTCTACTTCGTGAGAAAATGCTGCTATGAGGTTCATGAGTATTTTATTTTTCATTATTATCTCATAATTCAACTCACCTTGCACTTTTCCGAATACTTCGAATTCCACCGATACCAGCGGGTCACCGATATTCATAATAATTATTTCTCGATAGACAGAACTGAATCTATTTCAACAACACGAATCAACTTTCCAGTCTGTCAATACAAATAGACCTTTAATACTGTGATGCGCATTAACATCTCAATTATTGATGTAGGTACTTACTCTTACCTATTTTTAACCACAACAAAAGCAAAATGCTTATTCGATATGAGACCGTTCGAATAAGTTCATCATTAAATAAAATCAATACAGGGCGTTTCAGACATTATTTATTCTCTGATCTTCAATATCACTTTTTACTAGCCAAGATATGTCAGCAAACATTTGTATATGTATAACATGACATTATCACTGATAAATCAACTCCTACACGGAAAACCCTATTTGAAGACGACGTGAGTCATTTTGACATCGATAAAAAAGGTGCATCCTTTTTTATCGCTGTAAAAATGCATGTTCCTTCATCGAGTATGCGACCGTCACTTCAATTTCTGTCTTGTCATGTTTGATGGGTAGGTATTGTATAATACGAAAATACGCAAAATGAGCCGATTTGGAGAAATTTCTTCGGAAGAAATCTCGAAATGTATAAAAAATACAATTCCGCAAGCAACTAAAAACACGAAATCGTCGATTTGGAGACAATTCATGGAGTTTTGTGAAGCCAGAAATTACGAATTGGGAGAAAAAACACCGGTGCCCCAAATAGCAGACATTTTGAAGGATTGGGCGTATAACATGAAGAAGCGAAATGGAGATGATAACAAGGAATATGCTTTGAAAACAATCTGGAATTCGACTGCGAAGATGATTCAAGAAAAATATTTCAGTGAGTACAATATCAAAGTTGATCCTTTTGCCGATATAACTTTCAAAGAAGCTCGTGATGCAAGAAATAGTAAACGGAAAGAATTACAAGCTATTCCGGATAAGAGAAAGTTAGGTTCTGTTGCAATAGATAAGAATGATATCATAAAAATGGCCAAACTATGGAATGTAAATGAACCAGATGGATTGCAAAAAAGATTTTTCCATATAGCTTCTTATGAATTAGCTTGGAGGGGAGGAGAAGCTGTGAACTGTAAAATATACTATTTCAAAGAAGAGAAAAATCAAGATGGAACTACTACAGGTAGAATAGAATATAATACAATATTTTCTAAGACGGCACAAGGTGGGTCAAAAAGATTGGCAGACAGCAAATGGATAACAAAAAATCAAATCGATGAAACTATTTGTCCAGTGAGGTTATTAAAATTACTTTTAGAAAGAAGAAACGAAAACATAACATCTGAACGCCTTTTTTTAACTCCAAACCCTTTTTGGAGGCACAAAAATTCTAAAGGTTGGTTTAAAAATGTTCCACTGGGAATTAACATGATATCTTCTTGGACCAAAATTTCAGCAACAAAAATTGGCCTTGACACCACAACTAATAAAATTACCAATCATTCAAACCGTGCTAGTACAGTTACACAGTTAGCCAAAGCAGGAATAAGTGACCAGCAGCTCATAAAAATAACTGGACATTCTTCTTCAGCATCGATCAAACCCTATTTACAAATTGACCCTGAACATCACGAAAATCTAGTTAGTAACTTACGATCATCGGATATTACGAAGTGTACGAACGAATATTCGACATGTGTCGAAACCATCAGAGAAGAAAATATAGAAATTTCGACACCAAACCATAATATTTTCAAAAATTGTAGTTTTAATAACTGCTCCTTCAGATAGTTTTTTCAATAAAGTTAATTATTGTTGTTATTTATTTATACATTGTCGATGATTTATCATGCCAAAAAATACTCGAACTTTTTTTTAATGGATAAATTTCTTTCCTAACTCAAACATTTTCCATCAGTAATTTCGCTCGAAAAACTGACATTAGACAAAATTGCTCGACCTACGGTCTCGCAATTTTTTCATATCAGTTTTTCTCCAAAAATTACTGATTGGCAAATGTTTTCGTTAGGAAGAGAATTTTATCCGATAAAAAAAAAGCTCTTGTGTTTTTACTGTTGATAATAATTATACCTATACAGCCCTAATAACACACATACAGAGGGTACCAATGCAATAGGTATTTTAATTTTTTTTAATTTTAAGAAAAAAGGCTATATTAACTTGTTACTGTAAAGAAGTGGAAGGGGAAAATGTTAAATTAGTGAGCATATCAACAATATATTAATTGGGATTATTTCTCTCCATATTCCACTATGTTCGGCTCGGTAATCAAAAGAATGTGTGTGAGGCAAGAAGGTATGGCTGGCCGTGATTATTCAAGAACGAAATATCCAACCGATCAGATACCGAGAATAAAGAATGTTCTATCTACAGATCGAGCAACAATGTGAATCTTGAAGGCTTTCCTGATCAAAACAAAAACACTTAACTATATATATGTTGTATTCAAATCTCCATCATGGGTATGAGATAAATGAATCTGCCGAAATCAGAATCAAATCACGTCCCAATCCAGATAACCAACCGTAGCATTGTTGTTTATTCTTGATGTCATCCTTCATTTCAGTTCCTAGGAGTTAACAGTTCAACTTTAGCTCCTAGGAACTCAAAATGTTGCCTAGCAACATATTCCTATGTTTGTGTAGGTAAAAAAACATCAATTCAAGAGCTAATTTTGGAATTGAAATTGACGACTTTTGTGTCGGATGTAGAAATATCAGATTGTTTTATTAAGATCAAAAGTGACACTTTGTTTGACAAGCGAATTTTGCAAAATTTGCGAGTCAAACAAATTCTACCTGCATTAACAGCAGGTTTATTCAATTTTGAAGAATGTTCGAATTGTAGTTTCGATATGAATATAACCACAGAGTGACATATTTGTGTATGAACCATGGCAAATACCGCGTCTGTGCCAGGTATAGAAACAAGACGTGGAAAATGTTAGGTTAGTGAGCATATCAACAATAATGGAAAGTGATTATCAATTCCTCTCCTCTCCATACTTCACTGTGTTTGACTTGATAATCAAATGGAGGTAAACAATATCGTTGTTTGAGACAAACTATTGCTTGCCGTGATTATTCAAAAACAAGTTATCCATCCCGAGAATATCGAGTGAAATACAGATCAAGCACCCAGCGAGTACAAACATCCCTGGGATGTTTTGGGATGTTTTGAAAATGTTGGCATGAAGATGTTATTTTGAGACGTAATATGCACTTCCCAAAGAGGTCTTAGAAGGATATTGAAAGTTTTGTTTTTGTTCTTTTGTGCCCTTTCTTTGTTTGCCCCACCACAACGGCTCATGCTTACGTCACAATACGATGAATTATGATTTGTTTTCGATTTTGTTCTTCTTGTTCGCAATTGGCATTCGCGTTTGCAGCGTGTCACGCTCACATCACGCTGCTAACGAACAGAAAGGAATTTGGTGAAGTTTATTGTGTTAGAAGACTTATTTAGTTTGTAATAATGACCATCAGATGCAAGATGTGTTGTTCGGTGCCTCAGTGTAATCAATATATAAAAGTACGAATTTATCAATACACAGCTTCTCCGCAGTTGCAAAATTATGCATTGTGGAGAACATTTCAAAAATTGGGAGACCTATTTCCGAGCCTATTTCCAATTATATGTCTGTGTGTAGTAAGCACTACTCAGAAACCGATTAAGAAGGTAATTTCATATCAAGAAAATATATTTATGTTCAATCTATTTTTAATGCATTTTTTCATTCAAGGGAAATGGAATCCTAATGCAAAAGTTCATTTTGACAAAAGGCTTCATAAAAGTACCTCGAAAATGGTTTTTTTACAGCGATTTAATGTGCGCAAGACGCGTTGAAAATGTTTTGTTGTGTCCATGAAAATGCTTTAAAAAGAACTAGGGAGAAGGTAGTTTTGTGACATATCAAGGACATCTCGATAATTGCCGCCTGCGGCGGACATTGACTGTTCAATAATAGTTCTATTCATGTGTGAACAGAACATCGCAGTGGAGGTTCAATGTCTCGAAATCTCATACTTTTAACATCTCTGAGATGTTTTGGTGCTGCTGGGCAAGTATATGTGAATCTTGAAGGCTTCCGTGATCGAAACAAAAATACTTAGCTGAGATGTTTATAATTCCCATACCTTACTATCAATAAGGTGTATTTATATCTCCAGCTTGGGTATATGAAATGCCAAATCTGCCGAAATCAGAAACAAATCAGGTATGCGCCCCAACACTATACCAATCCAAGTTACCAAGCTTAACAATGTTCTTCATGCTTGATGACGTCTAGATACATTCTTTTTAGTTCCTAGGAGCTTTCATTTTCAATTGCATTCCTCGTTGGACCCAGCACTGGATCAAACGCCCCATAAGTCGAAAGTTGTGCGGGGTTAGATTTTAGATTTGGAATGGGGCCTTCGAACTATCTGCCTCCACACTGCGACCTTTTCAGATCTATTGTGTCTGCCCTCAGAATCGATTAGAGTTCTTCGGCTAGCCCCTTCTCTATGAGACTCCACGCTAGCTTTCAGATCTCCTGTGTATCTCTGGGCTCCTGGTTTTTCCTCACCCAGCGTAAGGAACCTCTTAGTCTTGACAAGCCCTCACAGTGGCAAAGTATGTGTACTGCTGTTTCTTCCTCTTCTTGACAGAACCTGCACAGCAGTTCTTCGGTCAGACCTATCGTACTCATGTGTTTGTTAAGCCTACAATGCCCTGTGAGAAGTCCCACTAGTATTCTAGTTGAACTTCGTTTCTGATGGCTTAGTAGATATTCTGTGAATGTTGGCGATGGTTTTTTAAAAAACTCTTCTGCCTGTCTCATTCCTGGCGAGTTGTTCCACCATTCTTGAGATTTGGTTTGCATGCATGATTTGATACTAGTCTTTTGTATAGCTTTCGCAATACCACATCCATGTCCTAACTGGGATTCGAACCCATGCCATCTCGGTGGGAGTCCCCATACGAACTCAGCGCCTTCAAGTTCAACTTCAGCTCCTATAGGATTTAAAGTTTGACTTTGGCTCCTAGGAACTGAATATATGTTGCCTAGCAACATACCTATGTTTGTGTATGTAATAAAAACATCAATTCAAGGGTTAATTTTGCAATTGGAATTATCGACTCTAATGTGGGTTGCAGCAAAAAGACCATTTCTTCGCAACTTTTAATATCCAATTGGTAGTATTTCAACACAATAATTATCATAAGA